AGTTCTCGATGTATTCATTATAAGGATGCATAAGTGCATAACGATGAAAGTGGTCAAACTAGTTGGAACTATTCCATTTATGATCAAGTTTTATGGCTTCGTTAAACATCTCCTTGTGACGTAATTTTAAACAATATGCAATCAACGTCTATAAAATGTATATGATTTATCTTTTTTTTCAATAGAAATAAACACAATTACTATGAAACTCTCTCTTTTTCTCTAGAAAGATTTTCTCTTGAAAATCAATGATTTTCTTTTTAATCGGGAATTTTATTAAAAAAAATATCTGGCTCCCAGCAATAGTAGAATTTTTTTCTTAAAATATAAAATAAATTGAGCTGATTTTTTTGGAAAATCTAAATCTTCTAAAAGATGTTTCTAAAGTCTGCTTCCTGTACAGCCGGAAGTTCAATCATCTTCGATGAAACTAGGTCGGATTTTAGGACATTGAAATTTGGATAAAATTTATACAAAATTAGAATTGTTAGATTAGAATCATATTATTTTGAATTTGAACAATTTCACGTTTTTGATATTAAACTTTGCATCAATTTTCAATGAAATGAATCCAGATGAAATAAATCTGAATACAAGAACCAGACGTACAGTAATCATTGGATTAAAGTGGTCCATGTCTGATTCTTCCAACCGGACGTAATTTAGAACGTATCAATAAATCTACAAATGTACATTTATAAAACATATTTCGCAGATTCGTGTTTTGTCTCAATTTTCAATCCTTAGAAAAGCTCTGAATTTGAATCAAAGAAATATTTATAAAAAAGGTTTCTTAATATTTTTCATTATTGCGGATAGATTTTCGATTTTTGAATGTGAAAGTGGATTGTTCATTGAAGGTAAACTACGTGTTGGCCTTAACGTATTTTCCTTTTTAGTTTAGGGACACCGACTTGTGTACATGTATTTATATATTTATATTGTATAAGTATATAAAATGTAGTATATGCTGCTGTCACCCAAGAAACTTTCGTTCGTTGAATTTCAGTTTCAGGGTAGGGCATTTGGGTGCGACCCCACAATTTTTTTTTACACAATAGCTTTCTTCACGTTAGTACCTATATACAACTATCGTGCCTAGAAGATTACACCGCGAAGAGACTTGAGATCTCGTGATAGATGTTGTTTATCGGTTTTTTATTCAAGAGACACACACTACATTTCAGGAAGTCTGCTGGATTAATCTGACAATAAATTTTCAAATAACAAAACCTTCTTCACAGTGTCTCAAGTATCCGTTATATTTGTGCATATGTTTGCTATATATTATCGCATATTCGAATTTAATAGAATTCTATTCGATTTTTGAAATTAGAAAATGATCAGAAATTATCATACTTCAAGTAAACAATTTTTCTAAATGAGATAATTGCTAATATAATGTATAATAGCTATAAATAAAATAGTAACTTATCAAAACAAAAGTAGTTCACATGAAACAATTTTGCTATTCAAGAGATTATTTTTTTCTCTGCTATCACAATTTCTACAATAATTTAATTTGAAACTGAAAGTGACTCATTAGATTGGTATGCGCATTATAATATTCCGTCCTGGTATCTAGAGGAAAGTAAATTTCTTCATCGTGACCAAAAATTACAAGACTCTTCTCTTTGCCATCAGAGAATTATTATTTTACAATAAAAATAAATAACTTCCATTTTCAATAAAAAATAATAATAAATAATATAGATTTGAACTGAATTCGAATAATTTAAAATAACTAGAAAAACCTTGAGTGCGATTTTAAAGATTACAAAGTTTGAGAGAAAAATATGTAAAAAGATTGCGTGAGTGAAGTGTGAGTAGAGTTTTTTTAAAAGTGTGATTATACAAAGCGAGAGAGGATGGAACGTTTAATATTCTAATTATCTATGGTACCGTGAAAAATTACGTCATATCTCTTAAACAAGAGAAACAATTTATATGACAACAGGTGATTCTATGCATGCCTAAGTTTTCATAGTAGAAAAAAAAATGATTCACCTATACACTATATATTCAATGTTCAACGATAAACCTTCATCGCTATATGTTTGAATCGTAACTGTAAACTGCATTCTGCACAAGGAGATTTGTTCCATTTGGATCATCATTTATTTTCAATAATCCCCTGTATTGTATAAAACAACAATCCTCTTTTTTTAGAGGAAGAAAAAAATCTAGTCTTTTTTTTAAAGGAAGAAAAAAATTCTAGTCTTTTTTTTAAAAGAAGAAAAAAAAATTCTCTTCTTTTTTTTTAGAGGAAGAAACAAATTCTCTTCTTTTTTTTCTAGCAAGAAAAAAAATTATCGTTTTTTTTAGAGAGAGAAAAAAATTCTTAATCATTGCAATTTAATTTATCTACATAATCAAATTAAATTAAAAGTTTTGATATTAATTTTTATATTTATTTAAATATCTCTTGTTTTCTAATAATATTTTGTAATTATAATTTCATTTCACTTCGTTATCTTTTTTCTCACCTTCAAAATAATTCCAAATTAATTTACTCTTAACTACTTCATTTCCAGTAAATCTCTTAAATTGACGCGAAGTAATTAATTGTTCAATTAAACGAATCAAACAGTTGAGCAATTCAATTATTTAATTTTTCGAAAAACTACCTGAACTTCACGTAAAAAAATGTTTTATTTAAAGCAAATATTGAGTCAAAAAAAAGTATATTTTTCACAAAAACTACTAAATTATTTACTTTTTTTAAATAAAATTTCTATTCAGCAGAAATAAAATTTATTTGAACCGAATAGGATTTATTTGAACAAAATAACATTTATTTGAACAAAATAATATTTATTTCAACCAAATAACATTTATTTGAACCAAAAAAAATTTATTTAAATCAAATATTAATTTAGTTGGCTCCGAGTCAAATACAGTCGACTCTCGATAGAATCTCAAAAGAGAAAAAGTTCAAATTATCAAGGATCTTAATTATCGAATATTTTAAGTACCAAAATTTCTTCAAATGACAAGAAAAAAAATTGAATTTCTCAATAAATTGATTTTTTTTTCCTCTTTTTATTATTGAGAGTTGACTGTATATTTTTTTCTAAGTGTGAATTTCTTCAAATCTTTTTAAAACAAGAAGAATTCAATACATAGTATTACAAAATATAATATTTAATATTTGTAATTTTTTTTTAAGGGAAAAATAGGGAAAAAATTTGGTTCATTGAACAGTTTAAGAAACAATGAACTTGTACACCGTCCGAGAGGAGTTATTGGGTCGATGACTTTATATCGTGTATAAGTACAACACTATTCGTTTTGCAAACCCTTCTCTGTACAGGATGTGTTAGTTTGAAACATTATATTATGTAATTAATATAGTAGCGCGCACGAGCGAGTAAACCAATGCGTTTTACCTTCATTTTTGAGAACACTCCAAAGAAAAAGAAAATAATTATGACTATTGAAGCCGAGGGAGAAAAAGTAAATTTCACTCGCACACTCTTCTATTATAATGACGCAACTTTTATAAATTATCTCGAAAAATATAAAAAATTCTACAGATTTTGTTTTATGGCAAAAAAATCTCCAATATTGATTGATTCTGAGAATTGTGATTAGATAATTATAACGAGCACAAGAGTTATTACATTCTCTCAATAATTTCATTTTCTAATATTTTACTTCCACTTTCGTTTTTTTCTCTACTTATTTCTAATATCTTTCATTATTTTCTTGCTTCTCTAGTCAAAATATTATTTTATACAATACTTTTTATAATTATAAATAAATATACAATCATCTTTTGATAATTAAACTTTCGATTTTGGGTGCATAGAAAATAATGTTGATACTAAAAACATTCGATAAATAAAACCTTCGATATTTGAACTTTTCTGTTCCAAGTTTCAATTTATTGAGAGTCGACTGAAGAAATAATTTTTAGTCACCAATTTATACAATAATTTTATGACTGCGGAAAGAAATTTTGTGCATAAAAAATAATAATAATAATAATAATAATAATAAATAATAAATAAAATAAATAAAAATAATAAATGAATAAAAAAAAATGATAAAAATAATAATAATAAAATATGAATGAAATAAAATATGTATCATATTAAGAATACTTTACATTTCAATGAAGCTGAAGAGAATAAAATTTGTTTAAAATAATTAACTAGCGGCGAGCTTCATTTTATTTTTGTCATAAATTACTAAATTACCTAACATTTCATATTGATTAAGGAGAAAATTTCCTTATTTATATAATTTTTTATTGACAAGTTTAGTATATAAAAAAAATATATTAATAGAATAAAAATTTGAAATCTTGCCTCTTATTTAATATTCAAGTTACTTAATAAATGCATTTATTATATAATAATGCTTCGGAATTTTAAAGCTTATGTGTATTTGCTATTTATAAACGTGAAATCACCGGATAAGGAACTGATAGAGATGAAAGACTAGAAATATTATATGAAAATGTCTAAAAATGGTCTTTACCAGTCACAATACATTTATGACATAAAATTATTGTTCAAAAAAAAATTTAATTTCTTTCTTTATCCATATTATACAGTATTTATATATCTACTGCATAAAATTTTTGCAAGTGAAAGAAATGTGATAGATTTATGTATATTATTCAACTGTACGTGACAATATTTCTTGCTTATCGAGACGCGCTCATATTATCAGTTATAAAATATGTATACTTTGATAAAAATAGTACCTAATTTTTGTTTTTTACTGTTAAAATTTTAGTATGTATTATAAATACTGGAACTTTAGCAGTAAAAACCAAAAAATTGAATTTTATGTTCAAATTGCAATGATGAATTTAAAAAAAATTTTTTTTTTTTTGATTCTCGTTTTTTTCCAAAAATTTGTGAACAATATAATTATTATTTAACATGACTATTAATTTTGACCTTTGACTATAAGGAACAATATTTATAACAAATTAAGAAAAATGAATGAAAATAATAAAAAATTGAATTTCTAATTTTCTGTTGCAGATTAATAGCAAATACAGTGAGGAATTAGCTCAGGAATGTTTAGAATGGATAAAAACTATTACGGGCGAAAATATCAGTACAAATGGAGATATGGATAATTTTTACGAAATTTTAAAGGATGGCGTTCTACTTTGCAGGTATTTTTCATTTTCTTCTAATTTAATAAAAGCAGTATTTTTCTAAATAAAAACGTACTTTTTTAACAAAAAAATTTTTTAATAAACCAGTTTTTAATAAAAGAATATATTTTAAAAAAATTTATTTTTTAATTTTCAATAAAATAGTTTAAAATAGTTTTAACTATTGTAAAATAGTTTTTTTTAATAAAATTGCTTTTTAATAAAAGAATTTTTTTAATAAATCTGTTCTTTAATAAAAGAATTGTTTTAATAAAACAGTTTTTTAATAAAAGAATTTTTTTAATAAAACTGTTCTTTAATAAAATAGTTTTTTATTTAAAAAAACAGTATTTCAATTTCATGAAACAGTATTTTTTGAATAAAATAAAAAACTTTTTCTTGCAGGAAAAAAAACTTTTTTCATTTACTAGAAAAAAATATAATACTTTTTTATAATATAGAACAATACTGAAAAAATAAAAAATTGTTTGCTAGTAAAATAATATAATTTGATAAATTTAATTTCAAAAATTGATAATTTCAATTATTGTTACAGGCTTGTCAACCAAATCAAGCCCGATTCTGTTAAAAAAATTAATCAAACGACCATGTCTTTCAAATGCATGGAGAATATTAATGCATTCTTAGAAACGGCCAGAGCTCTTGGTGTTCCGGCTCAAGAAACGTTTCAAACCGTCGATCTTTGGGAAAGACAAAATTTGAATTCCGTTGTAATTTGCTTACAATCTCTCGGCCGAAAGGTAAACTTTAAATTTTATTATCGAATATAAATAATTAAACGGAGGAAAAAATCATAAAACAGATTTTTATCCTCTTCGAAATAAAAAAAATAGAAAAAATATTTGAAATTGATATGAAATTTTCTATTTTTGTTTCAATAATCCAAAAAAGAAATAAGAAAATATAGAGAAAAATAATTATTAAAAAAACTTTTTTTCTAGGCTGGAAATTTCGGTAAGCCAAGTATTGGACCAAAAGAAGCTGACAAGAATGTACGCACATTTTCTGAAGAACAATTGAGAGCAGGCCAAGGTGTAATTAGCTTGCAATACGGTAGTAATAAGGGCGCAAATCAAAGTGGGATTAATTTTGGAAATACTCGACACATGTAAAATGATCATATTTTTTTCCCCCTCCTAACACTATAAGTTATACTTAAACACTTTACAGTCCTATTTTCAAAATTATATCTCGCAATCAAAGATTTATTATTACAGTATAAATATTATACTGTTAAATAATTTCATATAGACAATATAACAACGAAATTGAGGGACCACGATATTTTTTCTTTTTTTGCAAATATTTCCATGAAATCTCATTAAATATTTAAGAGAATATTTAAAATAATTCCTCTACCAAGTTATATTTGTTAAAAAGAAAAAATATATCACAAAATCAAGATTGTTTTTCACCAAAAAGATAATATTATCAATATTATCTAAGCTGATTATTTTACAAAGCTTCGCTTTTTTTCGAAAAAAAAGAATTCTATTCAAGATATTTGCAATAAATAAAAAAAATCCTCTTAATTTCGTAACGGTTGCTAACAAATAATAATGTCAATGTAAATGGCCTAAAACTGACGGTCTCAAAACGTTACAAATATATATCTATATAGTTATATAATTCTAGTAAAATATAGAAAGATTACTAAGACTCAAAAAACATCTTCAATATTTCACTCGAACCTTCAAAAAAACATGATTATTCGACCAATTTAAATAATTTTATTTAAGAATTTAGTGAATAATTTTGTAATTCTTATTTTGATTATTATTGTACGACAAGACTGTGTCATTATACAAAAAAAAAAGATATACGTTTATATATATTTTGTCAGGAGCCATTTAATTACGAAAACAATGTGAAATCAAATATAGCGTTTATATTCATACAAGTATAATGTATGAAATATTCAGATATAGATATTTTATTACTGTTATTATACGATAATTCTATATTTGATAATGTGTAACAGAATTGATTGAGAAAAAAAAACTGTCGTTACACGAAAAGTAATAATTTATGTTATTATATATTGAAAAAGTTTTGAAAATTTAGAAGAAAAAAGAAATTATTTTGTACAAAACATATTTTGATGATTAAAATATTGTATAGGGTCTTCATTAGTCATTGGAGATACCAATGAAGAGAAAAACACAAAAAAAGTGTCAACTAATAAAGAAAATTTATCTAAAGAAACTTTTATATTTCTTTATCACTTCTTATTCCCGTATCTCAACATTTTTCAAAGTTTTAAAAAAATAAAATTTTATTACGAATTGCTAAAATTTATAAAAGATAATAAATAAATAAATTTATATAATAAATAATAGTATAATAAAATATATATTTTAACAAATATTATAATAAATTATTAAAAAGAAATTCTTTTATTCCTTCTATAATTATTAATACTTGAAGTCAAATTTTTCAATATTTAACTAATTTTTCTTACTACTCGAAAAATTTTTTATTTCTTTCAATTTAAAATTAATTTAAATTTTAATTTTACTTTAATTCTCTCCCTAAAGTTTTAGAATTAAAAAAATTGAAAAATCCAAGATGAATTATATTCGAGCAAGGAATGTTTTTGTTATAGAATATTTAAATATTATGAAATTTCTTTTTTGCAATATTTATTTCATATTAATATAAACAATATATACTCTACTAGTTTATAAAAAAAAACAGTAAAATGAATTACCTTTGGAAAGGATAGTACGAGAGTCCAGAATTATATTTGAATTTATATTTGTTTTTCTTTTTGTCCGCTTCTTCAGCAATTTTCATCAACTTTTGAACACTAGGTCTGTAAATAAAAAATAAATATACAATTTGTAAAATTTGCAAATAAGTCATAAAAATAAAAGCGATCGATAAAAAGAATTTAAGAATAATTTCTAACTTACAATTATGTATAATCAATTTATTTATTTATTATAATCGGTATAGTTTATTAAATATAAAATTCTTTTATAAAAATAAAAATACCTATAAGGTGCTGGTAACATTTCCTCATCCAATGTGCACTCGAAAGGTTTTGTAGTACTTTGTGTAATTATTTGATTTTTGACAATATCAATATCTAGATTATATTCATCATGAAGCTGATTTGTTGACGAAGGAGGGAGATCGAAATAAAAGATGAAAAAACTGAAATAAACATGTATTTATAATATATTTTTTTAAATATCTTTTTAGAAAAATAAATAAATACTCACTTGGCTTCTTTATGTACACGGCCATGCGATGATATTCTATAGGCTGTTGGTTTTCTACCCAAATTTTCCATTTTTCTAATAAAACCCCCTTTGTCAAAAATCATCTGAGCAACTCTCTTTAAAGTTGCCGTGAGATCTGGCTGAAAAGTTAATAAGTCTAGCATTAAAAATCTAAAATTTATTACAATAAAAAAATGATATTCAGATTAAAAGAACAAAAATTTTGCCTGCTTTTCGAAACAAAATGTTTATTATAAGTTTATAATTTGAGGGTGAAAAAAGCACCGGTCTTGAAAGAGTAATAATTACCTTGGACATAATTTTTAATAACAGTGGCATTTCGTATGTCGGCATTTTTGTAAATTATTAAAAAAAACTTTTATTTTTAATAGCAATACTTAATTATCTTGTTCTGTTTATTTAAAACTTGAGAAATAATCGGAGAAAAATATGAATGTCTAACTTAACCTAGAAATGATTCTGGATTGTTTGCAAGGTTGGGTCGTTAGCAATCTATTATGTAAATCACGTAAAACGAGACGCATGAGATAGAAAAGGAAACAAATATATATCTCTGTTCTTTTCTAACTCATACGTTGCGTTCGCGAAGCAGTTGTGAGTTAGCCTTTACGACTGAGTTGTGTTTAGGCCTTTATTGTATGCAGTCTCATTATTAAGGCGCTTGCACACTTCAAAAATTTGCACACTTTCAAAACAGTGTTAATTCATTTTAATAAAATATAAATTTTTAAATTCCGGCTAGAAACAGTTTTTCCATTATATCGGAAAAGCGAAGTGTGAACGCGATTTTGACTTTTTCGGTAAATTTTTTTTCTACCGACCGTCGTATAAATGTACCCTCAGGGTGGAGTCCCATGGCAGCGTTTTGCGTTGCGTTGTAATAAGAGAGAATGCAGCAAACGTATATTTGCGTCTTTTTCTCTCCCATTACGACGCAACGCAAAACGCTGTCATGGGACTCCACCCTTAGGCTGGCTTGCCTAATAATTTGGAAGTGTGCAAGCGCCTTTATTATTAATTTTTCCTTTGGTGGCCTTGATTTAATCACATGGCACATGGCAGGCCCACATGGCCATAGACATTATTACTCCTTTTGCAAAACTGTTCAGATTGTAAACAATTAATAAACCAAATACATATAACATAATTTACTGGGTAAGAATCAAGTATATTTAACATTAAGTATTTATTATTAAGTAATAAAAGTATCCCAGCATTGACAATTAATATCATATTGAATACGAATAGTAAAAGGTTATTTTTGATAAAAGGATTTTAAAATACATAAATCAAAGTAAAAGTCGATCTATACACTTTTTTTTTTTATTAAAAACACACAATTTAACTTCTTTTGCTAATAAAATTAACAAGAAAACGACAAACGGGAGAAATAATTAATTGTTATTTTGGCCACAAACACTCAATATAGGCACTGCGTTTTTTAAATTACATTATCAAAATGTTTTTAGTATTTTTGAATACATTTATACGTGAAAATAAAAAGTTACATAGTATTTATTTTAAAAAATATCAGATAATTATGTCAATAATTTTTCTGACTGAATTTAACAATAAATTTTATGAAGAAATCTATCCACATAGTTACTTTAAAAGAAACTAAATTAATGTATTTCCTTTAACAGATTTTACAAAATGAGTTCTCAAAGGGGAAACACTCAACGGACAAGACCGCAGAAACATCAGAACCGATTTGTTTTCAAAAATGATCTTCATGATAAATCCCACAAAATGAAAGCCATAAATAACATACAAGTTGCAAATGTTTGTGAGAAGTGTAAGAAAATAATTGAATGGAAGATTAAGTATAAAAAGTTTAAGCCCCTCAAAGCTCCTGCAAAGTGTGCAAAATGTGAACAAAAAGTTGTGAAACATGCATATCACATAATGTGTCAATGTTGTGCTAGAGAAAGAGATGTCTGTCCAAAATGTGGAATAAAAGCTGAATTAGTCGAAGGTCATACAAACCCCATGGAGCAATTGAAATTAGATGCTGAGTTGCAATCAATGCTTAAGGAACTGCCTGAAAGAAAGCGAAGGACATTTATTCGTTATATGAATCAAAAAGGTAAATTAATTAGCTTTTAAAGTAGTGTAGTTTTTCAAAACCGGTAGCATTTTTAAAAAAATTGTAATTTTCTTGTAACATTTTGCTAAGGAAAACATTTTCTTCAACCCCTTCCTTGGATTTAAATGTAATTTTTAATTACAGTCGGGAATATATCTGTTTCAACTGAAGTACAAACTGAATTGAGTGACAAGAGCAACATTTCTATTGAAAGAAAAACTGAAAAGGAAGAAAGTGAAGCAATGCATAAAAACTTAATGGATAAGCTGAAATCCATGACTGTAAAGGAAAGTTTAGATGATTGTATTTCTGACTTAGATTATAGTGATGATAATGATGAAGATTGTGATTCTTCAGAAAAAAGTTAATTAAAAATTAAACAGTGTAAATATATTTTTTTGGCTATCCGGACAAGAAGTCCAGACCAAAAAATCCAAAATAGTTTCACTTTAGACTTATTTTTAAGATTTTTTGTCCAAAGAAATTAAAAATCCAATGAAAAAAATTGAGATATAAAAATTTAAATGGTTGCCTTAAATGAAATTGTCCTTTTTTGAGTTGCTTATTTCGATGACTGTGAATCTTAACATTTTAAATTTCTGAAAATATAATTAAATTAATCGAGTAATTTAATTGAAATTGTATTGAAAAAACTAATTGAATTTTTGTAAAGAATTTTATCAAAAATTGTTGAAAATAATTGTATTTCTTTTTTAAAAATTTTACAGAATAATTTATAGCGTAAAAGTAAAAACATGGCTTTTTCACATGTTTTATTATTTATTTTGGACGTTTTTATTTTTTTTCGATTTTTTGTACTTTGGATTTTTCGGTCTGGATTTTTTGTCCTGTAACAATTTTTTTGGTTTTATTTTTTTTTATGTTTATAATATCTTTAATGTCAAAATATTTTGAATCTTTTAGATTTGCATCTCAGAAATTGCAACTACTACAAATGACATTGCTACATGTAGTGTATTAAGACTACATTTGTATAATAGTATAATACATTTTTCATAATAAAGAACTAGGTTTTTTTTTACTTAAATTCTTCTGTAAAAATACATTTTGAACTATGTTTTAATAAAAATATTAATTTTGTTTTTAATTTAAAAGTTTATGGCTTTATTGCTTTCTCATAAAAGCAGTGTTTTATCGAAAGGAATTCAAAAATCACTTTTTAAATTTAAAAAATTGTCATTCAGAGTGTGTGTGTAAAAATTACAAAGTTATTGACATTTTAAAAAATTGAAATTTTGGAAAAATATATTTTTAATGATTTTTTAGTATCAAATTTGAAAAACGCATCTAATGACCTATTTTTGAAGTTTATACAATCTAGAGTTAAAAAGTTATTGCCATTTTAAGAATAAGAAATTTTTAAAAAATGTGGTTTTTTGTTATTTAATCGTAATATGCAATTTTATATTTTTTATGTATAAGACATTTTTAATATGTATTTATAAAGTAAAAATTTTTATGAAAAAGAAAAAAGGTTCGTGATATGAACGCAAAAATTTCAACTTTTATTAATAGAATTTACATTATCAACAACAAAATGTATTGTTTTTTAATCATTCAATGTATAGTTTAGTTTTATTTTGCGACAATTATGTATATTTACACTTTTTTTTACTGATAACGACACAAAAAAATTTGTTTCAGTATTCAAAAATTGAAGTAAGTTAAATGTTATTTTACAAAATTAATAGTTTATATATTAAATTAATATATTTTATATAAACAATTTAAATGTGTGAATTTAAATGTGTAAATTAGAAGACTTTCCCTTCTCCTGAAAATTATTACGTTACAAAACCTATAAAGGTATGTGCTTTCTGCGAGCAAGTGTTATTCTTCGTTGATAACAAAGCAAGTGAACAACTGTAAAAGATTGTTCTTTTTATTGTAGTGCTCTGTTAAAGGAAATTTGTTTTTAATTTTTTTCCAACAATAATGGAGCTGAAAACGGAGAGGGAACCAGCGGCAGAGCAGCTGAATATTTATAAAGACACTGTTAAGGTAAATAGTTTTTAATTTTGAAAAGGTAAACTTAGAAGCTTAAATATCAAACGGAAATTGTAAATTTCTTTTAAAGATAACTCCACTTCTCCTAACTGGAAATGGACAGCCAATCGCAAACAAAAACGATACTTTAACTGCAGGCAGATTTGGGCCAACGCTTTTAGAAGATGCAGTTTTATTAGATGAAATGTCTCATTTTGACAGAGAGAGAATACCTGAACGTGTTGTTCACGCCAAAGGAGCTGGTAAGTTTAATAGAATTCATATTTTTAAATTTTCTAAGCTTTACGTAATGAATAATCGACGAATTTAAATAGAGCCGATATCTACTTTTGTTCAAGCAACTTTACATTTACATACAAGTTATCAGTATCATTTTCTATTACCTAACAAATTTTTTAACAATTAGGCATTTTAACGTTAAATTAAGAATAATTATTATACATCTTTTTGTCTAATGTTTCATTTTATTTCGCCAATTTCAGGAGCATTTGGATATTTCGAAGTTACTCATGATATAACAAGATATACAAAAGCAAAACTTTTTTCCCACATTCTAAAAAGAACGCCAATTGCCGTAAGATTTTCTCAAGTTGGCGGAGAAAGTGGTTCAGCAGATACTGTTAGGTATAAAGCATTCCTTTTACTTCCTGTAAATTAATTAATGAAAATATTTCTCATGGTTTATTTAATTTTATATTTGTATAACTTGAGATATGCGCATATAATTGAAAATTAGTTTCTTCATATGTATATACGTGTTGTTCGCAGAGATCCCCGAGGATTTGCCATAAAATTTTATACTGAAGAGGGCATTTGGGATCTTGTTGGCAATAACACTCCAATATTCTTCATTAAGGATCCATTACTTTTTCCAAGTTTCATTCACACTCAGAAAAGAAATCCAGTCACTCATTTAAGGGTTTATTTCAATTTCACTTATTTACAGTAAAAAATTGTTATTTAAATTAGTAATTATTGATTGCATTATTTATAGGATGCCGATATGTTTTGGGATTTTTTATCTCTTCGTCCTGAATCAACACATCAAGTAATGTTCCTTTTCAGTGATCGAGGAATTCCTGATGGTTATCGTCACATGCATGGCTATGGCTCACATACATTTAAACTTATCAATGCACAAAATGAATTTGTGTACTGCAAATTTCACTACAAGGTAAAATTCGCTTTTATTTTTTTATTTGCCTATATCACACGAGTAATTTAAAAATTATTCTTTACACGCAGACCGACCAGGGAATAAAAAATATTCCAGTAAACAGAGCAGCTGAATTAAGTGGTACTGATCCTGATTATTCACTTCGAGATTTGTACAATTCAATTGCAAGAAAAGATATTCCAAGTTGGACACTTTATATTCAGGTAATGACTCCTGAAGAAGCTCAAGTTTTCAAATGGAATATTTTTGATGTCACAAAGGTAATTTGTAACAAATAATCTCTATCTTCTTCAATTTTTGAAGAAGATCTTGCCTATCTAAACTTTATTAAATTTTTTTATTTAGACTTGGCCTCACAAAGATTTCCCCCTGATGCCTGTGGGAAAAATAGTGTTGGACAAAAATCCAGAAAATTATTTTGCTGACGTAGAGCAAATAGCATTTAACGTGGCACACATAGTACCTGGAATAGCGCCGACTCCAGATAAAATGCTTCAAGGCCGATTATTTGCTTATGGAGACACTCAAAGACACCGTCTTGGTCCCAATCATCTTCAACTTCCCGTCAACTGTCCATATAAGGTTATAATTTTTCCATGATTAATTCCATTAATTTCCATTATTAATAAAATATGGTAAATATTAATTTACCATAATTATTTTATTAATTCAGTCCTCTAATAATTTTAATAACAGATATTATCAACAATAAACTACCAAAGAGATGGATTCATGACAATTTCCCATCAAGGAGGAGCTCCAAATTATTTTCCAAACAGCTTCAAAGGACCTATAGAGAATCCTTCTGTAAAAGATCCACCATATCCGGTTTCTGGAGAAGTTGATCGATTTACTCCTGTAAACGAAGATAATTTTGGCCAAGTAACTATATTTTGGAGAAATGTTCTCAAACCTAATGAAAAATCACGACTTATTGATAATTTAGTCAATAGTTTAAAAAATGCTTCACCCTTTATAATCCAACGAGCAATTTCAAATTTCAGTCAAGTTGATGAAGAACTTGGCAAAAAATTACTTCAAAGTCTGCAAAATTTAGGGAAATCTATTCCATAAGTATTCTTTTCTTCTAATTACAATATAATTTTTTTATTGTATTTACTGTAAAAATACAAGTTCTTGTTCTATAAGTATTAAAATATATAAATAATTTCCAAAGTTAATATTTATATTATAACAATGATCTGAATAAATGAAGACAACGAAGCGAAATTACTAATGCTGCTGATCTTTAGTAAAACCAAAGTTTACCTATATTTTAATAAAAAGAAATAAACTTGATATGTTTAAAAATTCAATCTTTTTAATTATGCAATCTTTGTATTATACATTTAGATGGATGACGATAGATTCATGAAAACTTTTTATAATTATGAAATAAAGTCAATAATTCGATATTTTACAAATAAACCTAAATCACTCTTGAGTCGATAAATGAAGGAACATTATTATTTACAATTATTGGTATACCTTCTTTAAGTAAATGTACAATTTCTCACAAAAATAAATATTTCTAAATATACGTAAGTAAAATTTGATTTTTTTTCTTTTGACATTCTGTGTTGTGATTATGTTTCCTAAAATTATTTCTTACTCAAGTTTCATTCATATTATTTTTCTAATTTCAAGCACTATTTTTTACATAAGATTTGAGCCAACTTTAAGCGCATCTTTAATTCTGATAAAAATACAATTTTTTCATTAAAATATATTTGTTTAAATAATAATTGAAAAATAATTCGAATCGAATTAATTTGAATTTCAAAGTTTCGATTTTTTAATTCAATTCAGTCAATTAATTTTCTATTTGATTTGAAAAAAAACCTCAACTTTTTGGATATTGCTGTTTCAGGGTGTCTACTAATTTTCGTTCAAGAAAACTCCCGGCTTTGTCCTAATTTTTTCCGGTTTTTTTTCTCATCAAATTTAAATTTATTTGATTTCGAACATAAATAAATCTAAAAATGGCTTCCAAAATTTTTATTAGATTCTTTAAATTTTTTAAAAATAATGTTTTTTGTAATAATTTCAATTAAAAATTTGGAAAATAATTGAATTAAACAAAGAATTTTTTCAATTTTTTAAAATAATCTTGCCTGTTCATAATTATAATTGAAAATTTGATTAATTCAATTTTATATTAAAATGTATTGATACTAATTGAATTTCTGCAAAGAATTTTATTACTTTTGAAAATAATTAAACTGTTTTTTAGAATTTTATGGAAATTTTTAAAAATAATTAAATTCTTGTGAAGAATTTTTTTAAAAATAATATTCAAAAGAATTAAGTAAATCTGAAGAATTTTGCTATTTATGGAAATAATTGAATTCTTGAGAAGAATTTTTTTACATTTTCTAGAAGAAATAATAAATTCTTTCGACGAATTTTAATCAAATTTTTAAGAATAATTACATTTTTCGAGGAATTCGATTTGTTAATAAGTTTGTAATGAAATTCTTTAAGAAATTTAATTATTTTCAGTTAAATTTCACAAAATTTCTATTAATTCGATAATGTTCTTTAAAATTTATTTACATACTATATTTGAATCAGTAACTGATTTTTTACAATCAAATTAATTATTCTTAACTAATTCAAATTTAGAGAACAGTAGAAATATCTATAAAAATTGAAATAAAAAGCGATTTTTTAAAAACTAATTAAAATAATAAAACTTTTTTATTTGGTGAAAAAATTCCCGGTTTGGCATAAAATTCCTGGCTTATTCCCGGTTAAATTAAATTCCCGGATTTTCCGGTTAGTAGACACCCTGTGTTTATTTTGAATGCAGTATTTAATATATTATCAATAAAGTACTTCCTCTATGAGGAAGCAATCCACAAGAAGCATTTATTAGTTTTTTCACATAGAGTGAAAATTGTGCAATATAAATTTTATGCATGAAATTCTACATCAGTTAAGATAAATGGAAAAATATTGTTTTTTGATTTTTCGTCGATTGTGCGTAAAGAATCTAAGCTTTTACAGTTTTTAAATATTCGTAAGATAATATCGATGAAACAAATATTATTTCTTTATTATTGAATGTTATAAACTTGTGGACATGTAATGCCCAAAGTTTTTAATGATACTGTCAACTACAAAGTTTTAATTCCTTTTGAACTAAATTGAAATTTAGAACCTTAAAGATCTTCATGAAATAAACATTGCAAAAATTTTTTTAAACTTTTATACAGAAAATGAAAATATCATTTTTGTATATAAATTTTAGAAATGATTTTTTACTATTAAAGTTTACAATGATTACTTTATATTGGAGGATGTCCATATACTACTGAAAATTTCTATAAAGAATAACTGTAAGGAAACCTTGTAGTAATTTTAATGAGAGCAGAAAGCTCTTGAAAATAGTCAGAAGGCTTTAGATAGTTTAAAATTTTTCTCGATAAAGTCGGTTTTGAAAATAGAAACAAATATAGAGATCATAAGAAATATTTTTAATTATTAGATAAATAGTTTATCCGATGTTAATTCATTGTATATATATAAGACTGGTATTTATTCAGTTCAGTTTCAAATATATGTATAAACGACTTATTTAGTCAGTTACAGTAAAATTTAGAATTATAATGCAGTTCATATAGAATCTACAGGAATTGACTGTAGTTCATTTAGTAAAAAATTATGTTTAATTAAAAAAAATTCTTTTTTAAAAAATATGCACTATTTTCAAAATTATGTAAAGATATATTTGTCGAAAATTCGGTTCGTGTTCAATTGAGTTATCAATAAAAATCAAAAGAGTTATTATTTTCAATTTTAGAGATATTCTTCTTGATTTTTTGAAGTTTTTAACTACTCGAAAGTCCTGAGTTTTAGGCAATTAATAATTGTTTCAAGGAAGAAGAATTCTTTTAGAAATCTTGATATAGGAAATCACATTTAAATTTGATTTTTCTAATTATTAAGTATCGTTCGTAAATGTTAATTTTCATCAATATACGATTTCATTATTTCTCTTATTTTCATAAGCAAATTTAAGTATTTGTTTAGCATAGGTATTTCTTTTATACAAAATGTTTTCTATCAGGAAATTGTACTAACGCAGATTCGGCAGAGTTTTCTTATAAGTCAAACCTCGATGATATGGTTTACTCGTTGTGGTCCTATTATTATAAATGTTCGCTTTTGGAACAAATTCATTATTCTTTAATAGTAATGTAATTTTTTCTTTAGTTAAAAACTGGCTTGATTTTATCAATAAATTATTTCAGAATTTAATTTCTGTTTCAAATAATATTGATAAAGTGGAAGCAATTTTTCCACTGGAGCTCCATGTATTGAAATAAGAAACGATTTTGACAACCGCTCAATATGGAGAATTATTAAATTACTATAGATATTGTTTTTTAATTATGTGTTACACACATGCACACATGCACTTGAGCTTTTTAATTTGAGAAAAATGTAATTAATGACAATTATTATCAGATAGATTTTATTCAACTTTAACATCTGTCTAATAATAATTATCCACAAGTCGAAATATAATTGAACCACTTTTTCAGTAAATGACAATAATTATTATCAAAACTGAAGGCAATAAGAATATTATCGTTTATACCATATGGACTGTATAATCATTATCAAATTATATAAGTTATATAATAGACCCTAATGTTATGCACTTTTAGTTTTATTTTGGAAGTAGTTTAAATTTAATTATGCAAACTCTATCAAAAAGTAATAACAATTGAAAAAATGAATTGCGTTCCCCGTATATTTTAAATAGTAAGATTAAAATTAAAGCTTTATCTACAACTCGGAATTGAATAATCGTTAATTTAAAAAATTCGATGTATTTTCTTGGCTGTCTGTATTGAAGTTCATTAGTATTCGTTATTTGAGAGATCTCTTATTAAAGAAATACTTATTAAAATCATGCATAATTAAAACTGAAATTATATGTACCTATACGTATATTAAAAATATGTACTTCCCTTGGTGTTTTGCGTGTTTTGTTTGACTTTGTGAAGTAAATGAATAAAATCAACACATTGTTTCAGAAGCGGGAGCTGGTTCCTCAGTTTCGTTTGGATCGGGTTCTTCGCTGCTATCTCGAATCGCTGGCGGTCTCGATAATGTTTGCTCAATTTCTCTTGTTACGCTTATTGTTGGTGGTGGTGGTCTCCTTGAATCTTCATCTATTGCAGATACTCGTCGCAATTGACGATGCTCACTTGCTATGAAGAATGGCGTGAAACCATTATCATCACGTTCACCATCGTCATCATCATCATCATTATTATTACTACTATTATTCCCTTCCATGTATCGTCTATAGAAAAAATTAAACAATTTATTAAGGATAAACATTTTTTCGATTGTCTAAATTTAATCTCATAAAAGTAACAGGGCTCGAACCAGTGAAAGTATTTAAAAATACGGACTTCACGGACCAAAAATGAAAATAATTGAAATTCTGAGAAAAATTTTATTACCTATTTATGAAAAAAAAAATTTAATTCTTACGATGAATTTTACTAATTATAATGATAATTGAATTGATTCCAAGGATTTATTAAAATTTTAGAAAATAATTGGATTCTTTCGATAAATGTTAATAGGAATTTTTTTAAAAAATTGAATTCTTTCATGAAACGTTATTAAAATTGTATTAAAAATAATTGGATTTTTGCAAAGAATTTTATTATTTATTAGTAATTGAAATACCTTTCAAGAATTTTGTTATTTCTCTAAATAATTGAATTTTTGCAAGAATTTTATTAAAATTTTGGAAAATAATTGAATTTCTGCAAAGAATTTTATTATTTTAAGAATATAATTGAATTTTTGCAATTATTTATAACTTCTCAAAAATTCTCCAAATTATATCGTTAAATTTACGAACTTTTCTTTCATTTTCAATCAAATTATGGACCTTTTTTTTAAATACTGACTTTTACGGACTTTAAACAAATTTACGAACCTAGTTCGAGTCCTGAAATAAAAAAGTCTTTACCTCTGAATTAGATCTTTCATTTGCTGATAATCACATTCTTCTGCATCTCTCAAATGTTCATTTTCAATTTGCCAAGCAATTTCTGGATTCGACATTCCTGAAATGGATCTTCCTCTTCCAGGTGGCGGCGACATTGGTGGAGATCTTGGGGGACTCAACAGCCCACAGTAACTTTCAAGTTCGTCAGTGATACTTGTGTATTCTGCGCGCATCGCAAGCAAAAGAGATCGAGGGTTCGACGGTTGAATAACGGAATGCCTCGGTTCAGCCCACGTTACTCTCTGCGTTCCTGGAGGTGCAAGGTACACCATATCCTCTGATTCTGATCGCGTCCTACTGTTTTGTCGGCTGGCTCGCTCTCCAGAGTTTTGTCTCGACTCGCTAATAGTGGGAATTTCACTGCTGGCTTTTTCCTCTTGAACGGCTTTTGCATTTAATTTGTCGTCGACAGGTACTTTATTTTCATCGCTTTCTTCCTGACTTGTCACTACTTTTGAATCTTCTTGAGCTGCTTGATGATCGCCACTAACTGATGAATCATTTCTGCTGAGATTTTCACCGGAGACATTCACCTCCGATTGTTTGGAAACATTATCATCAGCTGGTGGAGCCATTTGCATAAATGCCGCATCGGTCAGAGATCTCAAAAGTTTCTTTTTCCTCAAAGAAAAACTAGGAAAGTGTGAATGTGAATCAACCTCGGAGAATGCTTCTGAGCGCTCTGAAACTCTGCGTGGACGGAATTCTACGTCGAGAGCTTGAAGACCGTCGTCTGACATGTGCGTTGCCATGAATCGATGAATAACTCCCAAGTGTGCCAAAGTTTGTTCGTTAAGTTCCTCGAGTTTTCTAATTCGAAATTCCACAGTCTAAAATGTTAAGTATGTTTTTATTTGAACCAATAAGAAATTATGTTAAATTTAATTAAACAAACATACCTGAAGGGAAGAACTCTGACTATTTTCTTTTTTCTCAATATCTTCCATTTTCTGCTGCATATTTTCCACACGTTCATTCGTTACTTTTACACGTTCTTCTGTTGACATTTGCAGCTTGAGTTCCTGTTCACGGAAATATCCTTCGACACAGTCCTCCTCGAAGTCGTACAAGCGTTCTTTGTCGTCAGCCTCGAGAAAGAGCTTCAATCCATTGTCACCCGATTCCCCAGAAACCTTTTGACCATGTGTAATATAACGTATTATGTATTTTACTAATAAATACGCATGAGAAACAGCAATAAGAGGAGGCGGCAAGACTGGTTTCTGCTCATACTCCATAACAACAGTGAATCGTTGGAACATCCAGACTTGATGGGAGATACCATTTACTTCAATAAATATATTATTAAATACAGCAATTAGCAAATTAATCAGTAATATATTTGCAACTAAAAGATAAATTGCCATTACAAATGGAGTAATCCAACGGCCTGGGAGACAGTCAGGCATTCCTGGATCTGCTCCACACTCCGGGTCGATGTGATCGGCATAAACTTCACCGTAGAGCATAAAATATGGCTCCATAAAAACCTTCAAGAATATTAGAATTAAAAAATACTTTTTTTTACTGTCTGTGCAAAAACTGGAAATTCAGTAAAACGAATAATGAAAAATAACTACTTACATCACGCACAATTCGCCAGGTTGGTTCTGTGTTTGGCTTAAGTATAGCTTGTCTCGTTACTCCAAAACTCATCAATACTACGAGTAATAGAACCACGAAATAAATCATGTTCTTAATCATTTTACCCATCATTGTTACCAATGGACCTAAAAAAACATATTTTATTAATAACTACGACCTTTTTCTATATGAGACGCTCCACGAGAAAAGGAACCTTATGTTTTTAAAATTGTTTTCCTTTTCTCGTGCATGTGCACAATACACTCTATTACCAAGATATTTGTTAACTCCCAAAATATTCAACATCCTCAAGTACCAATACATGCAGTCTACACAGTAAATAACTCGGCCATTATCGAATGTTGATTTTCTCATGCGAAGAACGAGACCAATCATGAAAAACATAATAGCTGCTGCATCGCACGGATTCCACATATTCCAGGCCCAAACGCTGAATTTATGAGAAAGTGCCACCGGTTCCGAAGTGATAATTTCTCGAATTTTTTCACAGCCCATAGTAATTACATAAAATATCGAGAAATATTCAGGCAAGGAAGGTTGATCGCTCATTCTTACGAGAATCGTATAAGAAAATAGAACCAAAAATGTCACATAAGCAATCTGTTTCAATATAAAAGGATTAATTAATTAATTTTTATAAATTTCGTATCACTTTTGTTCTAATTATTAATATACCTCATTGTAAAAAACAGATATTTTAATCAAAAAAAACTTACAGCATTTCCCCAGAATTTCGTAATAGGTGCAGTATAAAATTCATAAAGTTTTTTCTTTAAGCGAAGAGGTCTACTGCTTTTATTGTCATAGTATTCAGATAAGATTCCATAAGATCTATGATTTCCATCATCCGTATCTGTTAATACTTTTCCATTCTCCTGAACAATTGTCTCTTTTATAACATTTGTATTATGCTCGTGACTAATTAAAGCCTAAAAAATATAAATAAATGACAATATCATCAAAGTATAATGAGATTTTTATTTGAATATTAAACAGACAATCACAGACATAAAAATTAATATTATATTATTATTATTATAAGAAAACTTAATTTAGCAATATAACCATTTACATAATTTTAAATTTTCATCTTAAAACACTTTTTTTAGTATAAATATAATAAAATTATGTTTTCACAAATTACATAATAAATATTTACTCTTAAAAACAGGGCTCGAACTTGGTCCATAAATACCGTAAAAGTTAGTAAATTTGTTTAAAGTCCGTGAAAGTCATTTTTTTATAAAAAAGGTCCGTAAAGTCCGTAATTTGATCAAAAAAGCAAGAAAAGTTCGTAAATTTAACGATATAATTTGAAGAATTTTTGAGAAGTTACAAATAATTGCAAAAATTCAATTATTTTCAAAAGTAATAAAATTCTTCGCAGAAATTCAATTATGTTCAAAATTTTTTTTTAAATTCTCGTCAAAATTTCAATTATTTTTAGAAATAATTAAATTTATCTGCGAAATTCAATTATTCTATAAAATTATAACAAAATTTTAAAAAAATTCAATTATTTAGAGAAATAACAAAATTCTTGAAAGGTATTTCAATTACTAATAAATAATAAAATTCTTTGCAAAAATTCAATTATTTTTAATACAATTTTAATAACGTTTTATGAAAGAATTCAATTATTAAAAAAAATTCTTAATAACATTTTTCGAAAGAATCCAATTATTTTCTAATTTTAATGAATCCTTGGAATCAATTCAATTATTATTATAATTAATAAAATTCATCGTAAGAATTAAATTATTTTTCATAAATAATAAAATTCTTCTGAGAATTTCAATTATTTTCAATACAATTATTAACAAATTCGATTCTATTCAATAAATTAAAGACATTTTTCGAAAGAATTCAATTTTCGAAAAATGTTACTAAACTTCAAGAATTAAATATTTAATTGCAATAATTATTAAGAAAGACGATTATTGTAAAAACTTGAAAGAAATTGTTTATATAAAATTCAATTACTTTGAAATGTTTCAATTCAAATTATTAAAGAAACTCCATTATTTTAAAGAAACTGAAAGAAATTCTCCAAAAGAATTTAATTAAGATTATGAAAAATTTTATTAAAGTTCATCCAAAAATTCAATTATTTTCATAAATAATAAAATTTTTCGATGAAATTCAATTATTATTAAATAATTGGTCCGTAAATGGTCTATAATTTTTTATTTTTGGTCCGTAAAGTCCGTATTTTTAAATACTCTCACTGGTTCGAGCCTTGTAAAAATCATAAACCTATGCATGTTTTTCAATGTTTCCAGGTACCCTTATAAAAAGAAAAATTGAAAAATAAAGTTTCCTACAATATGACATTTCATAAATTACAATTATTATTTTGAGATTCAAATAACACAGTAGATTCTGTGTAGATTAATACCTAAATCATAACAATTAAAATATGTGAAAAGAAAACAATGAGACATTAAAAAAAATTGAATGTGCGATAAAAAAGGACGTGACGAACGAACATGTTTTGTTTTCAGACGAGGGATTATTAAATATACCTTTACGCCCTGCAGACCATTGGGGGCAGTGGTTTTGTAGCGAATACTCAGGCTTCTGCGTGGGCGTTTCTAAAAAAAAATAATCAATTCGCATGTTCTCGTGTTTCTTTTACTAAATTATATCCTCATAAAATAAATGTAATGCTTTTTCTCAAAATAAAATTTAATAAAGGTAAAACTTCTATTTGAACCCTCTGAAAATGTATTTTCAGTAACAACTTTCTTAGTTTTCTCTGTTAAAAATAAACTATTTGTTTATGAACCGTTATTCTAAATAATCTTCTTCTTCTTCTTCTTCTTCTTCAAAAAGCGATATATTTTACTTTTGAAATTTTCATTATTTAAAGAAACAATAAAAATAATGATGACTTTTCTATTCGGATAAACAATAAAATTAATCCTTTCAAATGAAAATATGTAGTTTACATTTAGTTTACACTTTAGCTGCTTTCGAGAACATTTTAGAATTGTATTTTTCCTTGATACTCTATTAGTAAAAAAAGTTCGTACAAAATAGTCGTTTTTGTACTATTAATAAGCCTACAAAATTAGATTAAATTAGAGTAAATCTACTAGGAATTTAAATATTGGTATTCTCACATATTCATTTTAAGGAAAAATGTAAACAAATTGCATTTTAAACAAGTACCTCAACATCTGGTCCAACTGGTGTTCCATGTTCAGATTCACTGTCCTCATTTTCATCTTCAAGAGCAATGAGATGTTCTTCTTCCGTTTGTGGCATCAACTGCAATTCCTCACGACTTTTAAATTCCAATCTAGTAATGTATACGGGACACATCAATCCCAAAATAACCTGTCGACAGACAAAATGAAATTGGATTTGGATCTTTTGGTATTTATTAAATAAAAAAAAGAATGGGTAAATGAATAAAAACCTTCAAGTTTGTATTTTTACGAGTACGAAGACCACCCATCCAAAGATCAGCCAATATAATTTGACTGCATGGATGAGCTAATAAAGCTCTGTGGTTTGCCGTCACGGCAAGAGAAAGACAAGTTTGACCAGACCAATTTTTTAATTCCGAAGTTAGGAGCTGTTGCGTTTGATCGTCATCTTGTCGATAACAAAAGTCTAATAATTCAACAGCTATGAAAATAGAAGACATAAAATATAATTTTGTCCCATTTTGAATAAATAATCATTTAGTAACACTGAGTGAATACCTATGTTTTCAAACTCTTTGCCATAGCCTCGAAGTTCATCATAAACTTCAGTTTCCAAATCGTCCTCAGCAGCTTCATGTGCCATGGCTTTATACAATTTTAAAGCGACCAAAGCCTTTGCCAACGCTTCTTCGCCATGCTGCCACATAAGTAGCGCCATTTGCTGACGCTTCGTGAGCACAGCCCAAATAAGCAATTCGTTAAAAGGATAATCAAAAAGAGCAGTATCTTGAGTTGCTGGTAGAGTTTCTGCCAGCAGACTCATTGTTAATCCGCCTGACTTTCCTCCAGAGCTAGAAAAAGATCGACCAGTTAAAGCACAACTATTACGATGAGCGTGTTGATGATACCCTCCAGATCGTTTCATTACTCTCGTGTAAAGAATTCGAAATTCCTTTCTCGTATACTGAGAACGATAAGCACCGCCCATTAGTTTATTTATCACGAGACCAATGTCATGAAGAGTGTACATGTACCCTCGAGGTATGTGCGGTCTCACGTCCCGAAGAATATAGCCCAAAGTATTTGACGGGCCCTCTTTCTGTAAACAAGTGAAAATATTAGAAATATTCTTATTTAGAAAGTGTCTAGAAATAACAAAAAACCTACTGTATTATACAATTCTTCAAGGCGAGGGATAGATAAAAATTTGCGCATTGAAACTCCATTTTCTAAAAGTAATTTGACAAAATCAATCCTATCATGCTGAAGAGCCTGCATCATAGCTTGCTCCAAAGCACCTGGAGGCCATTTCTGTCCGTAGACGAAAATTTCACTGCGAGCAATATCCACCCTATTCCATATTAACGAAAGAGATAATTGTTCGGCAGGCGATAATTGTTTTGATTTAAATAAGGCTGTTAGTATTGTCTGGTCCAATTCTTGAGATCGGTCTTGTGATATCCTAAACACTGTGATCTAAAGAAACAATAAAAAAGCATTTTAAATTTTAGGCATCACAGTACCTTTTTTCCTCAAAGGTGAAAAGGGGAATAATTAATTTCTAAGTAATAATTTTATGATAGTTGTTCAAGAATTAAGTTAATTAAAAAATAAATTGCTTGTTAAAAATAAGAAAATTTAAAAGAATATTCTTACCAAATTCTTTTTGCGAACACATTGTAATAACTCTAGATAAAGCTGATTTGCTTGTTCTGCAGAAACTTTGAATGTTCGTTTAATTGTTTCCAGTAAATGTTCTCTCATACTCTCCAGTGGGCCTTCTCCATCTTCTGTTTCCTCCTCTGATGCATATCTATTTAAATATATTTTGTTACAACTTTTTACTTTGCTTGAATATTTTCTATTCATGCAAGCAATTCAAAATGTATATTTATTTTAATCAATCGAATTTTACTTGTGCATGAAAGCAATAAGATCGGCTGCTCGACCGGATCCATCGCAAACTACGACAGGAACGGGAGGATCATCAGTTACATATTCCAAAACTGATCTTATTGTATTTGTACCTCCCTCTATTACTAGTGCAACAACCGGAATACTACTGTGTGTATCTTTAAACAACATAAGAATATTACAAATTTTGTAGAAAATTATTGTTAATTAATGATAAACGATTACTTACAAGGCTGAAGTTTTAAATTGGATATATATTTTTCAAGTTTTCTTCTTAATATAATTTCAGCACCGTATCTTCCACCAGTTCCATTATCGACAAGTAGAAAATAAGAATGCCGATTATTCAAAACTGCATACTTAGACCTATAAATAATTATTTCATTAAAAATCTTATCGATGGCTCCTGACTAAAAACGTATTATTCGAAAGGGTAATTAAAAAGCAACTGGAAATCATGCTTATTTAAAATGATAGTCTTACCAGGGAGAAGAAAGCGAATCGTAAGGAATTTCTCGACCACGACCGACTAGTTCATGACTCTTTTCCAAAACACCCCAAGGAGCAATTCCAATACTCACTACCCGGCCTTGTCTTTGTGCTCTTTCCAATAATAAAGCATCTCCTACTTGCCTCGTAACTCCTTGAATATGACAATTATTGAAAATGAATAACAATCAAAAGAACTGTTTGAAAAAGTGAAAAGTATACTAATACGTGACGAAAACAAATAATCACCTGTATTAGTTCCTCCGGTAAATATCCAAGCTCCAGTTGTTTTAGCCGCTTTCAAAAGACCTTTACGAAGAACTTTTTTCAAAGTTGGTTGTAGATCAAAATTTGATCGACCACCATGAACGGTGATTAAAAGTTTCGGCAAGCCTAAATTCCATTCACGACATAATAACTGAACTATAGGCTCTGGTCGAGTGTCGTGTGCCAATCTAACATACTAATAAAAATTCATTTTTAACATGTAAAAATATACATAAATAATTAATTACACAAGGTTTTTGTTTTCTTAATAAAAAAAATACTTGTGCTTTTGTTGGATGGGGTAGCCCTTGAAACTCAATTGTGCCATACGCATCTGTTGCTGAAAAACGGGTATTCTTTCCTGGGATCCATTGCTCTCGTTCTTGTTCGGTAGCAATGCTGTTTGAGTAAGATTGAACATCCGCTCCATTTCCACAGTGGTGAGTATAAGAATGTCCACAACAGCATCTGAAAACCAATGAAAACTTATACATATATTGATTCAAAAGTTAGAAAGCAAACAAAACCAAAAAGTAAAATTTGTTAAATATTTTTCAACATAAGTTAACATAAGTTATAGATTACTTTAATATCAGAAATTAGAGAGTTATGTAATTTTAGTTTCATTACCATCTTTTAACCTGCACTGTAAATAAAAGACACAGTTTTGCATCTAATAAATAAGTAATCTTAAAAATTATCTATTCAAATAATTGTTAAGATTACTTTTTTATTTCTTCCATGGAAATAATGAAAATATAATTGCGTGCAGTAGATGATTCAGATTGAAAGCAATTTTTATGAATAATATATTAATAAGAATAAAAATGTTTCAATAAAATAATTTAAGGAAACATTATCGAAAGCTGAATCTATAAAATTAATTTTAATATGAGAAAAATCTGAAGCTACTACTGAATATGATTTACGAAAATAAATGATAGGCAATGAATGCTTCACGAGATTAACAAAAATGTTAGATATGAAAATATAATATATAAATTTTATATCTAATTTTCAAGTTTTATAACAGTTGGTTAAATTTTATTCTTCTTCAATAAATGAATAGTTTCAATGACGATTTGAGCGCATTTACTTAAGTGAGTCATGTCAATTAAAATTTGTATATGTTTGAATGAAATTTGTTCACTTCACCTGGAAGTGGTGATCACGTCGTATTCTGCATTCTTATCTCCCTGTACTTCTTCAAACCTATAAACGTAATGAAGAAAAGAAAAGTAAATCAAACAGAAATGAATGAATAAATGAATCGACAGTAGTGTTTATTGGTAAAATTAAGAAACTTTGAAATTAAACATTAAATTATAAAATGACAAAAAATTGTTATATTTTTGAATTCCAAATTCTTAATAATTTTGTAATAAAGTGGATTTTTAATGAAAGTCATGAAAAATAGAAATGATAATTACGAAATAGTTGCGTTGTGATTTTAAGCAATTACTATACAAGCTAAATATGTTGCAGAGATAAGAAAGAGTTAAACAATAGAATATACGTATTATATATACAGTAAGAATATAGTAAGAATCTATTGGTCATAAGAAGGTGCGAGTGCGAGTGCGAGTAAGGTGGTAATGGAACGACGCATAAGAGTGTCCTCGTCACACTTGTAGGCTGACCGATTTTATTCATACTGTATATAAAATATATATTTATATAAACACAATTAATGTATTGAAAATTACTTGTGGTAAATCTTCTTACATTTTAGAATTTTGTTTGTATTCAAAATGTTAAGTTTTTGTCTTTAAACACATTTATCTGAAAAATACTAACAATATATTTGCAGTGTTTGACTTGAATGAATTATTTTTTATCAAATTTATTTCCCCCGAATCCTTGGAGTTCTAAATTCAAAAAAGATAGACATTTTTCCACTATCATCACTACGTTTACTTTAATATTTTTCACAATTAAACATTAAATATCTTTGTAGGTAATTAATCATTTAAATGTAATTTAATCGCAAATGACAATAATCAACATGAAATTAAATTCAGTTACCTGTGTTCATCTTTCGCACTTGGAATAAATTTTGTGCATTCTCTTTTTTGAAAAGTTGCTTCTATCCAACTACGCTCTGTTGTCTGAAATATTACAAATATCAATAAATCTCTTGAAATAGTTGAAGAAGCAATATTTATATTTTGCTGTACGTTTGTTTTAAATATAATAGAAACAATGACAATAATGTCAAAAAGTCATTAAACTAAGTTTTATGATGACAAAGAAAATATTCGAGAACTTGTGAAAAGAATGATAAATAAATGATAATAAAATATGTTGTGTGAATAAAAATAAAAAAACAGTTCCTATAAAATCTTTCTTTTTTTCATATTTAAGTATTTTTTTTATCGACAATTAAATTTCTAAATAAAAAGTTGTTTTTCAACATTAAAATAAATTTGCGAGTAAGGGTTTACTCAGCACATACTTAAGTTTTAAGAAAAAAGTTTCTATTAATTATGAGACTCATAAATCTGTTTTTCAGAGATAGCTGAAGAACAGAAATTAAAAAAATATACCTTAATTTTTTTTCTCTTCACTTTTGGAGTATTTGCTCCACAAATAATGCTTCCGATTGCCATCTTGACGTGTGTTGACAGATAAGTATGTGCTCACCCTAATTTTAACCAATTCATAAACTAAAAAAAGATAACCAAAAGAAAACTAAAATTTTTTTAAATAAATTTGTTTTTCTTGAATAATACAACCAAAATCATCTACAGTAGTAGTGTAAGTGATAATTTTAAAAAATAATGTTTCTAATGATTGAAATGAATTATGTAAATTATCCAACAATTTGTTTTAATTGAATTTGATTCTAAAGTTCCTAAAGTATCGAATCTTTAAATGAACAATGATATTCTTCTTACTTAAGTATATGAATTTGTACTTAATTAAAAATTATTTTGTACATTAAAATAATGAAATCCTATTCAAGTGAAAATTTTTAATTTACATTTTCCGTTTCAGTACCTAGTAAATTTAAAAAATATTCAAACAGACAAATTTTTCGTTTATTTTAAAATTCAAAACTTTAGGGGAAATAATTTATAAACTTTTGAATTGTATACATACCGCTCGAATGATTTTTTTTTCAATCATGCCTGTACATTCAGGAAGATTCTATTCTTGTTTTACTTTAATATATGTATGCTATAACTATACATATAATTACATATAGATCTATATATATAATTATTACATTTTTCTGAATATTAGAAGTATCCACCCTTGAAAAATTATATCACTTTCAAAGGATTCAAGTGCATTTAATTATATTGTATTCAATTTATTGCATCCTTTCCACTGTGCTGTATCTGGATGATAAATGAAATTTAAGTCTTCGAATGCATTAGTTTTCATCAGACTGCTATTTGTGGATTTAACTGTAAACAATGATAAATAAAAAACAAGTAAATTTTTTGAGATACAAAATTCCAGTCTAAATAAACTTAATTTTACAATAAATATAATATAATATATTGCAGATCATTTAAGCATTGTTTTGTTTGCATCATTACTTGAAATTTCACTTTAATATACAATATTTATTATAAAATGTAATTATTAGATACTCAATTGTTAAGTAAAAATATGTACCTATTTTCTTATTCTACAATGCAGTACTTTGACTAACCTACATATGACATTATAAAGCAAGTAGCAAGATCTAAATGCATGTTATAACACAGAGTTAACCTCATACACTTAGTCAATTTTTACATTTTTATGTAATAACAATAGCTTTAAAAATAAAAATTGTGCAAAACATGACATTTTTTTCTTCAATCATTTATTTATTTATATACTTTCAAAAAATATATTTGTCTAAATAAAAATTAAAACCTTATTGGACTAATCTCATCTTCATACTATACGATAGGACGATACAAAAAAATATCATAAAGTAACATACCTGGTAATAAATTTTGTTCTTTTCGATCAAGAAACATATTTTTAGAAAAAATATTTACAATATAGTATAACTGATTTTTTTGCACTTTTTAGGAGAATTCTTATTGACACAAACTGTCAGAACTATATACATATATACTTTTGTCCGATTAAGTAAAGATAGTAACGATAGTAAGATAGCAATTCACAAATTCACGAGTTGTATTATACTACATTAACACAATTAAACATCCAATATATTGAATAAGACACAACGTGCACAAAGTATACTACAGAACTGATAGGTATACCACAACCCAAGTGATAAAATCTTCAACCCTTTATTTTATCGTCATCTCTTTTTTGAAAAGTAGGACACAAACTCCCCTAAAACAAAATGGGGGTTTCTATATTATTATAGAAACTTATATTTTACTGATATTTAATCATTAGTATTAAAGTTATGTCTTCAAATCAATTTCCAACTACTCTGAAATTCGATGCACACAATGAAAATTGAAGAATTAATGTGCGCCTATTTTTCAGACTACAACTTCCATTGAAAAAGTAAATATTACAAATTGTAATTTCGAATTTGAATATTGCGCATTTATTTTATGGCTGTTTCCAAGAATGTAAGGCTTTGTTCACAATAGGCTCTTTTTTATTTCCTTATGTTGATGTTGATCGTGATATAAAAAACAAAGAAATCTATGAAATTTATTGGAGCTTATTGTGGACACAGCCTAAAGGTATGAAGGTGCTACTATAGGGCCGTTCCAGAATGGGTATCGTGAAACTAACGCACACGCAACGTAGACGCAACGCAGACGCGACGCGCTTGTTCTAACGTCACAACAGTCACAAATGTAATGCTACAACTGCTGAAAGTTGTGTTAAAGTTTTGTATAAATAATAATTAATTAATTACTTTAATTAATAAATTTAATCAAATTTTCAGATAAATTAAGTTATTTAATTACAATATATATTATAATTCTTAATAATTGATATACATATAATAATAATAATAATAATAATAATAATTGTTAATAATACAATTAATGTAATAAATTATTTAATTTAATTTAATTAATTAATTAGTTTAAAATATATGATAAAGAGGAATTTGAATAAGTTTAAATTTTTTAAAAAATTTTATCAGTAATAATAATAACAATACAGTGAAACCTCGATTATCTGAACTAACCTAGGCAAGGCTAGGTTTGGATAATCGAAAGTTCGGATAGTAGAGATTTTAATTTATTTATTTATAATTAAGAGCGTTCGATGGTCTCTGAAATTTGTAGGTTATGAGCGACCTACACTTTTCGCCCTACAAAAACGGTATTGCCTGGTTTAAATGACGTGAAATTGGTAAACAATCATTTTCGAACGAGTTTTTCTCTGCACACAAGCACTTTTTGCAAAATCTGAATCCGAACCAATGACACAAATCTTCTTAATTACCTAAATCCAAAATATTTTTTTAATCCATGCAGAAACGCGGTTGCAAAATGGTAAATGCAAAAGCAACAAAAGTAATGTAATGACAGGCGGCAAGACGTTTGTTCCAACCATTTGCCATTAGAGGGCAGAAGCATGCAGGAAGCGTAAAGGCTCAGCTGTCAAAATGATTCGCATTACATTACTCTGGCCTTTCCCATTTTGCAACCGCGTTTCTTCAAGGATTAAAAAAATATTTTAGATTTAGGTAATTAAGAAGATTTGTGTCATTGGTTCGGATTCAGATTTTGCAAAAAGTGCTTGTGTGCAGAGAAAAACTCGTTCGAAAATGATTGTTTATCAATTTCACGTCATTTAAACCAGGCAGTGCCGTATTTGTTGGGTGATAGCGGTTTGTCGAATGTAATCTAGAAATTTCAGAGACCGTCGAACACCGTTAAAGTAAAAAAATTGGATAGTTGGACTATATATATTAAATTTAAAACTTTTTTTTAAATATGCATAAGTATATATACGTAAATATATAATAATTAATAATAATATACTAATAAAACAGAGAATTCAGAATTTTTTAAATATTTTTTTGGCATAAATTTTGCTATTTTGGTTTACGAAAATTTTACTCTGTTATCCGAACCCTCTATTATCCGAACCGAAAATCATTTTATCCGAACTTCTGTTATCCGAACTTTTTTTTGACCCTAGGGTCAAAAAAAAGTTCGGATAACAGAAGTTCGGATAAAATGATTTTCGGTTCGGATAATAGAGGGTTCGGATAACAGAGGTTAGCATAATCGAGGTTCCACTGTAAATGTTTTACTATATGGTTGGTGATTTGTATTTGTTAAAAATTTTTTTTATTTTTATTACTGATAAAATTTTTTAAAAAATTTAAACTTATTCAAATTCCTCTTTATCATATATTTTAAACTAATTAATTAATTAATTAATTAAATTAAATTAAATAATTTATTACATTAATTGTATTATTAACAATTATTATTATTATTATTATTATTATTATTATTATTATTATTATTATTATTATTATTATTATTATATGTATAACAATTATTAAGAATTATAATATATATTGTAATTAAATAACTTAATTTATCTGAAAATTTGATTAAATTTATTAATTAAAGTAATTAATTAATTATTATTTATACAAAACTTTAACACAACTTTCAGCAGTTGTAGCATTACATTTGTGACTGTTGTGACGTTAGAACAAGCGCGTCGCGTCTGCGTTGCGTCTACGTTGCGTTTGCGTTAGTTTCATGATACCCATTCTGGAACGGCCCATATACCTATCCTTCTCTAACTCATTCCTTCCGTTTGCGATTGTGATTACGATTTTTATTGTACACCAACCATAAAGTAGTAAAAAAACCAATCGTAACCGCATTGAAATTAGGTTGAGTCCACAATATACCCTCTACATCGAAGATGCGTTGGTTTACATTGTGGACTCAACCTTAAAAGAGCTAGCGTGACATTCTTATACATTTGTATTCTATGGTTACTTCTCTATACACCAGCGCCTCTGTAGATCAAAGGAGGATTTAAAGTGGATTTAAAAGTTCAAGAACACGTGATTTTGTGTACAAACATAACCATTTATAAAGAATATTTAATAACGAGGAGAGTGTTGAATTATTTTTTAAAATAAAAGTAATAAAAAATAAAGTGTTTTGTTGTTGGGTACTTTTGAAAAAGTGCGACCATATCGAAAGAAGGCAGATCCATCTTCTTATAAAGTTATTACTTCTACAGCTTCTACAAGACACCGACCTTTTTCTCTTACAATGTAGGTATGTATTTGTCATTTGTATACCTATATTAATTTAATTATCTTGAGCAATGTATGTAAACTTGAATTAATTAATGTATAAAAATCAAAATTACTCTTAATCTGAATTTTGCATAATTAGTGCAGTAGTAGTAGTAATATATAATAAAATTAAGTAAGTAAATTCTTATACTATTTAAGGACGTTCGTCCACAGAAATGCAAACAAAAAAATCAAATGACATTTAGAAAATTAAATTTTATTATTAATAGACTAATAGTATTTTCTAGAAAAAGAAATATTAATTGTCAGAGAAAAAATTAAAACCAAAACATTTATACAATTTGCATTGATGACTGTCCAGAGACAGACACAATAACATAAGACAGATAAATGTCATTCGATTCTAACATTCTTTGCAAATTGCTTAAATAAATAGGTAAATTACGTTGGTTTCAAAATTTTTTTTCTTGAAAATTGATTTTTGTTGTTTCGGAAAATACTATAATATTATTGTTTTTTAATTCTTTAAATGTTAATTAATTGTTTCTAAAGGTCTACATTATTTGGGATGAACCACTTTAATTGCTAAAATTAATCCGCATTCTTAGTGTAAAAAACTATATATGTTGTCATTACTATTTGACCTAAGGGGACAACAGACCAACAATCAAAACCAACCTAATAAACTACGTATTCAGATTTATTTTTAAATTTAAAAGTATTAAACTTTGTCACTTTAAATATATTTTCCTAATTGCAAATAACGTTTTTAAATTTAAAAGTATTAAACTTTGTCACTTTAAATATATTTTCCTAATTGCAAATAACGTTTTTAAATTTAAAATTATATTAAACTTTGAATATATTTTTCTAATTGCAAATAACGTTTTTAAATTTAAAAATATTAAACTTGGAATATATTTTCCTAATTTCAAATAACGTTTCTAGGCAGTAAATTAAGAGAATGTTTAAATTTATTTCAGTGCAGTATCTCATAGACACAAATTATTGTAAAATAATTCATACAGCTTCATTTTTTGAGGAATGAATTCAGTTATTCTTAGAAACGCAATGCTTTTTTGAATTAAAGGAAAAGTCAATTATGTATAAAATGGCTATATCCTATAAAAATCAGATTGTTTAAAACAGCGAAATAAAAAACCGGAAACTGTTACGTATTATCCTACTTGATAATCACGTCAAATTGAATGCAACATGATTTTTTACAATAAAAATTTGTTTTCCTTTTATAATACTGCGTGGCATATCAGTTGACAATATAGATTATATCTTTTAGCAATAATTGGTTTTATCTATAAATATAACACTTTTTGTTATGATTATGGACGAAATATATAATTAGAATTTATCAAAATAAATTATAGAGGTAAGTAAATATTCTTTATTTTTAATGTTTTCTTATATTTATTTTTTCTTCTATCTATGAAATATTATTAATTTTATTACAAAGGTAGGTAAAAAATAAATTAAATAAATTTGTGACTGTTATATAAAATATAAAATAGATGTTGCGATAACTGACATAGATATAGTTGTTAGTTACTATATCCTTACCTTTTGAACATAGTTCAGTCACTCTCTGTCTATGGTCAGTCGCTGGTGTTTATAATGATTTCTTCGGCTCTCTTTTTTCTTGCTATTACAGTTATACGTAAGTCAATTAAAAAAATTTTTTTTATACTTCTAAATAACTAAATGCATTTATTCGTGAATGCATACATATGTTAATAAATATATACAAAATAATTTAATAGTGCAATAATTTATTTTTCCATGTTTTTATTATAGAATATTTATTTACAGTTTAAAGTGAAAATTCAAAAAATTTCAGGCTTGCACTTTTTATATTCAGTAAAATAGATTTAAGATAACATTTTTTTAACTGTTGAAATAATTAAATAATAATATTTTTTCAAAAATAAAAAACTAAGTTGAAAATAATGAGAAATTTTCTGTGATAGTTAATGTTAGTTTTAGTTAATATCAGTTATTTGAAAAAAAAAATAAGGAAATATTTTACTGTATTTTTCTTTTTAGTTTTCATTTTTTGAAATACAATTTTGGTCAACAAAAATTAGTTAATGATAAATTAAATTTGTGAAAATAACAATTTTCTATTCAAGATCTTTTTATTAATGTCGCAAGAAAGTGAAACTCTCCATATTGTGATATTAACTTTTGTTTGTACCATGTAATTTCTCGGAGTACACAATACCAAGCTCTGTAGACAAATATACTTTTACTTAGCTCAAATAAATAAATTATATTTGTTGTTTTAAACTAAATTTTTCTCAGGATTGAAAAGAAGATTAAAATTGCAAATAATCACTTCTTTTCTTACCATATCGGAAGATGTACAAACTTCCCCTATTTTTGTAAAGAATTACGATTTTTATCCTACGCGCTTTCTATTTGCAAAAGACAAAATGACTAATTATAAATTTTAATAACCTTTGCTATTATAGATTTTACTTTTATTAAAAAAACAATAAATATTTAAAATATGAACTTTATTAATTTTAAATGAGAAATAAAATATATATTTGTATATATGAAATTTTCATAGTCCGTTCACGTCCTCTTGTGAGCCTTGATGGACAGAATTTTTTTTGTATATATTAAATTAAGCATATAGCCAGACGAATTAGACTCAAGGACCTGTTAAATTCATGTTTCCTTCTACAATGTATTTTGCTTGTTTTTAAAGAAACAGATTCACAAAATTATTTCTTTGTCTTTATTAATTTAAATTAAAACTCGCAATTGTCAATAAATGAATCATTTCAGTTAAGTGGAAAATGTTTATAAACAAAAAAGACGAATTGAACTCTCTTAAAATTACCTATAATTATAAAACAAAAAAATTGGATTCATGCATATATAATTTAAATTAGTTATATAAATAACAAACTTTAATTTATTTAAAAGTCATTTATGTATACACCGAAAAAAATATTCTTGTTTTAAGCGGGGATTTTCGCAAGAGGAATTTTCCTCTTAAAACGAGAATATTTTTTTTTCAGTGTATAATTTTATAAAATAATATTTTTCATTGCGCTTTGATAATTTATTTATTTCTTTAGTTTTTAATTCTTTTTGCTTCTTAAAGGAAAAAATGAATTGATGACGGTGAGAAATCAAGTCAGTAATAAAAGGAAAATGTAGGTGTCTATTCCCATTATTAATTTTCAAAGATGAATATAGTCAATCGCATGTAAAATGTGTGAAAGAGATCTTGGTTCTCAATTTTTAATTGCTAATAAGATGTAAATATTTATAAAATTTAATTTGTAAAGTCGTATAAATTGTCATGTACGTTGTATATAGTATGGAACAGATTTTTTAAACAAGTTTCATTTTATGGAATGCATGTATGTATTGATTAAAAATTTTTAAAATTCTAACACACATTGTTACATTATTATTGTTCTTATACCGAGTAATAAAATGATATTGACCTTCTTCATGTTAAAAAAATTAGACAAGTTTGAGGAAAGAAAACTAATAGGAAAATTAACGTATGAACGATAATTGCTTCCTTTTTGCGTCTTTTTTATTTTTATTTGACTATTTGTATATTTTCTGATATATATTATATTAATAAAAATAGTAGCTGGTTGATTTATCCATTTGTTGTATTTAAAATTTTAACTTAAGTTATTATATTGTAGTCATCATTTTACTTTTATTGTGTGGAAAAAATTTACGTACATAAATATTTGTAGTTGCACTTATACTGACCAATAATTTCTATTAATACAGTACATTCAGCTTTTTATAGTTTATTTAAAATTTTAAATTGAACTGTATCCAAAATTTTTTCAAATTTTATTAATACACATTTGAAATAATTTTTTTTATTCTTATATTAATTATATTAAATATTCATTGTTTAATGAATACAGATTTTGATTGATTATTTATCTTAGAATTGCAAAAATTATGTAATGACTAATTCAAGGTTGTATAGTCGGTAATTTTTATCTTCTGAGAAATCACCAATATTAAATATAATTCTCAATAAGACATTTAAAATAAAAAAAAATGTCATCTCACTGAAAAGAAGTTTTAGATTTTCTGGTATTAGACGATCATAAAACATTAATGATATTATGTATGTGCGTATAATAGCATGTATCGATGAAATAAATTTTTTTTCCTCTTACTTTAAACTACACATAATTATTTTTTTAGATATTACCTACGGTCATCGGGATTTTGGATATTCTGGAATAAATGGTAATAAATTATAACTAAATATTAATAAAATTATACAGTCAGGTCTCGCTAAGTGTCGTCACTGGGAATTTTTTGGGACCGTCTGTCTCAGTAAGTGTCATATTGGCCTAAGCCAGGCCCCTTCAGTAAAAGTTGTCATTTCATTGATTTATGTTTTGGCAAAGTTGATTTTTTGCATTGGAGAGGGTTAAAAAAAAGTGGGGACAGTGACACTTGTCGGGTCTCGAATGACGACACTTTGTGAGACAAATAAATAAACGACACTTTGCGAGACCTGACTGTAATCGACTGTAATATAATTTGTTAATAGAATTTATATACTTGTTTGACAATTGTAGTTATTTGAATAAATATTGATTCGTTACGCAGGTCCATCACATTGGGGCGACGATTATCATACATGTGTGGGAAAGCACCAATCTCCAATCAATATAGAAGAGCATCAAGTAAGAAATATGAGTTTTCCTCCTTTGAGATTTTCTGGTCTCCAAAGTCCGCGAGGAACTGAGATTACAAACAACGGACACACTGGTAAATTTTAAATTTTATGTAGCTATAAATTGAAATTAACAATAATTTTTCTTTAATTGGAAAAATAAATATATTTCTATATTTAAGTTATGCTAGTGATGAACGCAACGGTTCCGGCTCGCATTTCTGGGGGACCTCTTAAAAATGGCACTTATGTTTTTGAACAAATGCATTTCCACTGGGGAGAAAATGACGCTGAGGGATCTGAAGATTTAATAAATAATCATTCTTTTGCTATGGAACTTCATGCAGTTTTCTTTAAAGAAGAATATAAATCAATGATTGAAGCTATTCATCATACTGACGGTCTCACAGTACTTGCATACTTCTTCGAGGTAAAAATGTTCAAGTTTCAAATTTAAATTGTCATGTTAACGTGAATTTTCCTTCTTTCAGGTTGATGACAAACCAAATTTGTCTTTTAATCAAATTATTTCAATTCTCCCACTTGTGGAGGATTTAGATTCAAAAGATCAATTTTCACATCCTTTACAACTCGAAGATTTCCTCCAGCCCAAGAATTTGAATTTACAGAATTACTTTACATACAATGGATCGCTTACAACTCCTCCTTGTACTGAAGCGGTCACGTGGATTGACTTCAAAGAAGCTCTACAACTATCTCATAATCAAGTAATGATTGTTTTAACAACTCCCATTAATAAAGTTGAATTTTACTCACTATATGTAACATATACTCTATTATTTAAAAGCGTATTAGTTCAATTACGTCGCAAATAAAAATTATTTCCTCTTTTAGATTGAAGCATTTCGAAGAATTAGAAGTACTGCGGGGCAAAAATTAACTCATAATTTTCGACCAGTTCAACCTTTGGAAGATAGAATAGTTTATCATAATGTTCCTTCAAATGAATTCAATAGAATTCATTATAATCTTCAGAATAATTTCAATAGCGAAAATCGTCATCAACATGTGCATTCAGGTGAATATATTGTTAAAATAAATCAAGCAATTTTTTTCCTATCCATTATTATTAGTTTGCAATTGAAACTAAGTTAATGAAATCTAGTTCAAATATTAATATTAATTTATTAAGATTATTATATTGACAAGAGACTATTAAATTTAAATTGTATGACATTATTGGAAGCCGTTATTTTTATACACTGCAAATTTTAAATCTATTTACATCTTAAATATAAGTTACGAAAATTCTATGATTATTATTATCAGTATTTTTATAATATTATTATCGTTATTGTTATTATTATTATTGCTTCCTTATAGAAGCATTGTTATACCGAAAATTTTCAAATTTTTACAGTGTATGTATGTGTAAAAAATACGTTTTCATAAATATCTCAAAATGCATAAGATAAATTTTTTTAAAATTATACATTTTATTGAGAGACACTTTTTAGCCAGAGTTATAACATTTTAAAAAATTCAAGTTTTTATTTATTTTAGTCAATAAGTTATTTAAGAATAAGAAGTTTTAAAAAAATGATTTTGTGGTTTGTTGGTATACAATTATTGATTTTGTGCTTTAATGGTGGTTCAGAATTGATTAAAAAATAGACAATTGCTTTTCTACTTGTAAGTACTCGATATCTACTAAGTTAAACATACTCATGTAAATAAAAGATTGTTATTTGTAAGATAAGCTTTTCAAATTATGTATTTTATAATAAATATTTAAAAATTATGAAATAAAATAATTGGTTTGTTAATAGACTGTCCTTTGAATACAAATTAATTTTAATAATAAAACTTCAGTTTTATTGTACAAATTAGAGAATAACAATTAAATTATAACTTTAACATGTTAAAAATAACAAATAAGTCGATGGAAATTTGGTTTAACATAATCAATAAATTTTCTAGCACATTTTTCAGCGATGGCTAAGATTAATTTTTTTTATTTTTATAATAAATAAACTTATCATTAGGTACAGTTTAAAAAAATATTCTTTAGTTATTATTCAATATTTACAACTTATAAGAAAAAATGCTGAATGAAATTAAATTTGTCTTTGTCAATAATTTACTTTACTTTAACAAGTTCTTTAATTCTTCAATTTGCTTTTCATATTGTTTATTTCTCTCAGTAGAATCTTCTAATTTCCTTTCAAGAAGTTCAACATGATTCAAAATCCTCTTGAAAAGTTCAGTCAATGTCAATTCTGTATTTTTCAAAGCAACGATATTCATTTCGCAATTCTTATTTTTTTTCAAGTAATCGTGAAGTAAATTTTTTACGTAATTGTCTTGCATTTCAGAATTTTTTCTGTCAATGTGATCTATTGTTGCAATATTATCGTTCTCCTTATTTATTTCTTCTATACTACTGTTTACGAAATTACCGTTACATCTGTAAGTTATTAAAATATATGTAACAATTTATAGGTCATTTCAACAATATTTATAAAGCAGAAAATTTACGTACAATTCGTCGACTTTGTCTTCCTTCATTTTTATTTCTAAATTTTCTATATCACTAGTTGTCTCTTGATTAGTGATTTTTAAGGATTCTGATTCACAATCAGTAAATTCCACTTCGTTCATTCTATTTCTGTAGAATTAAAAAAAATAAGTCACATGAAATATCTTTTTTATGTGAGTGATTTTTTTTATATCGTATTACAAGATAAACTTTAAAAAAACCCTTTTAAATTTATAAATTACATAAGGAATAAGAAATTAAAATTTTACTTTTAAAGTAACTTACACATTGGAAAACTCAATTTGATCAAACGGTATATCTTCAGCATCTATCGTAATATTTGAATCGACATGATTGTTAAATTCATTAAATTTTAAATCACAAATGACATTTTTTGGATAAACTTGTTCATTTCTGAAAACAATGTTATTTATTAAATTTCTTTTCATTCATAAAGTTTGACAAAAATTTGTTTCTACGTACCGAATTCGATTAGGTGAAACTTGAACCTGAAGTGGTGCTTGATAATTACTTTCGTTAATGGATGGTACATATTGAGTGTCTTTTATAAATAATTTCGTCTTTGATTCTGCACTCTCAGTGTTAATATTTTTGTTTAAAGTTTTTTCAGTCGATTCATAAATGTTTTCTTGGCTGTCATATGTTGAATTAAAAATGCATATTTATAATAAATATTTAAATTAAAGATATTATAAGCCACAAAAGTAACATTACATGCATAAATACACATGTATTTATTCTACACACTATATTTATAATTCTCAAAAAATACCTTGTTGATACAAAATCTGGAGGTTTTAAATTATTTTGCAAATATCTTTTAATGATTCCATTTTCTATTTTGTAGAAATAATAACTGGAAATAACATTTATTTAAAAATATAAATAGAATTCGACAGCAATTTAAATTAGATATTATTGAAGCTCATTTTTAACTTACTCTTCCTCTTTCTCATCTTCTTTTTCATTACTCATCGTCATCGAAAATAATGGTGAATCACTTTCATTCTTTACAGTACCGCTATTATCAAAAATGATTAAACATAATATTTAATTAAATTTTTTTAAGTATACAGCTAAACATTGTTAAATACAAAATTTTTGAAACTATTTGAATAATTTACATGATAATATTTACCTGTGATTTTCTGTAAATATACTAGGTACGGCATCTATGTGTAAAAATCTGTGAACCATCTTATTTACAATTTGACAACAAAAAGTATCGTCTTCAAAGTGTTTACTGCATAAATAACTTTTTTTATCAATTCTTTCTTCAGGTAGTTTTATTGCATTCAACCATTTTTGTCGTCGTTCTTTATCACTAGGAATTCTTAAAATAAATTAAAAACAATAAAGATATAATTTTTAATTACATAAGATTTTCTACCAAGTAAAATGACATGTTATTTGTTTATTTAAGTACGCAATATAAGAATAATTGCAAGTGATTTTTTATGTCTCTTTAAACAAAATCCACATTTAATAAACGGAAATACTTACTTATGAAATGTAATATCACCATCATTTTTGCTGTTGCAGTAAATGCAAACTTTCATTTTAGTGTTGTCATAAACAACTTCATTCGTAGTTAGATTTTAAAGTTTATATCGTTTTTAATGAACAAAATTTCAACCTGTTAATCATTTTTACATGAGAATAAATTTAGAAAAATCATTCACAAAAGCAAAGCATAAAATAAACAAAGGCATATATTTCATGCCATTTAGCAATTAGCATGCTGTTCCAGACTAGTTCTGCTGGGTCTTTAGGGTGCTTCCACAATAACCCTTTTTCATTCACTAGCTATTGTAGAAACACCTTTACAACTGAGTGTCGGCATTTTTTTCTACCGACAGAGGTGTGATTGCAGCCTTATGATATTTTTAGGTATAGTTTTTACAATAGAACAACTATTCTTTAAATAATGCATTTGTTTATTGTGGACTCAACCTCATAGGCTCATACAATGTTACCTGTTTCATTTCCACACGTTTCCTTGGAAACATGCGAGTCTTTGAGAAAATATAATTAAACGCAATTTAAAAATATTTAACTACCTACGTTTCTGCTGCTTTGGCATAATCAGCAAAGAAAGAAATTCCATATTTTGAAAAAGGATTAAAATATTGAATGTTATTGTGTTGAAAATGATCATGCTAAATGCATGAATTATTGAATTGTTGAAAATTGTTCTTTATATTTCAATAAGCATCGAAGGAAGTTTAATATGTAAGTACTTTCTCAATTTGTTAAATAAGTATAGTATAATATAACCTATATAATAATTAAAATATTTACAACTGAATTTAGACAATTAGTTAAAAATTGCCTTTATTAAAAAATATTTTACAATTCAATAACAAAACCAATATTATACAGTAGTTTTCTCTTAAATATACGTTAATTTTATAATTAGATTTAACAAACTTTGATGTAAAATCCTCTTGAAATTTACATTATTTCCACTGTATTAAAGTATTGAAGCAATTGTTACCAATATCGATATAAAATGAAGTGCTGTGTGGGATGTTTCTGGTTTTAACCGTAAAATTTGCAAGTATTTTATCATGCATGTAGGGAAGAGTAAATCTCATTAGAACTCTTAAATTTTTTGAGAAATTACTGAAAGAAACTCTCTTCAAACCTTGAGAAATTTTGTTGTTTTTTCATTTCTCAAAAAATAAAAGTGTTTCAATAATATTTACTCTTTCATAATATACATTAAGATCAATTTTATATTAACGAAAGTTAGTTCCAGAAGTGCTAATTTTCAATTCTGCCGAAAAATCGCAAAATATGATAAATAATTTCTAACAAGCACAAGTTAAGTGCGTAGTTTGTGCTTTATTGTGTACACATTTTTACATTCTCGTTGTATGAAAAAATATTTTCTTTTTATCCATGAAGGAAAACAATATGAAAAATACGAATTTTCATTACACTTTTTGAATGTTCAAGTTTCTGATTTTCATAAAAGAAACGAGATTTGGAAAAATCTATAATTACATTGAAATGAATAATTATTGGACACTTTTGGAATCAACTTTAGTAGCCAATTAAATTATATTGATAAATAATTCGATGAAATATCTTAAGAATTGTTGATTTGCAATATTAAGGAAAAAATTTTATGAATCGTGTTTAGGGTACAAGTCGATGGCTCCTAAATGGAAACACGTTATTCAAGAGAGGAATTAGAAAACACGTAAATCTCGAAAAACAAATGGACAAAATGTTATTTATCTGAAGTATTTTTTAGGTATGCCCTTCAAAAAACTAATTTTCGTAAATTATGTGCAGGGCTTGAACTAGGTCTGTAAATTTGCTTCAAGTCCGTAGAAGTCAGTTTTTTTGAAAAAAAGGTCCGTAAAGTTTACGAATAATTTACGAATAATTAAAATTTTGTAAAATTGAATATTCTAAACAAATGAATTTGCAAATTATCAAAGAACTTTTTCGAAAATTATTAAAAATAATTGATTTAAAGAAGAATTTTAGTTTTAAGTAAAATATTCTCTTATTTGACTCGGACTGGTTATATTTTTGTTATTAGTCCGTAATTTTTAATTTTGAGTTCGTACAGTCCGTATTTTTAAATACTTTCACTGGTTCAAGCCCTGTATGTGTTTCACTTATGGGCCATCGAGATATTGAAAGGCACTTTGAATGTAGTTTAAGGAAAATCTTTTTAAAAAATGATGCTCTAACCTAACTCAGCTAATACAGAGTCCAAATCTTCTTGTAAGGAAAGACTTTCTTCGCGTTGTTTCGCTAAATCGTCTTTGAGACGATCTACTTGAGCTTTTAGGAGGTAGTTACCTTTTTTGAGAGCTGCCAGACGACCTTCATATCTTTTTGTTTGAGCCTAAAAAAATTGATGTATTAAAAACTATACTAGGAATATTTGTTTACAATTTTGATTACCTGTAAATTATTCTTTTGCTTTGCCAAAGGAGTATGTGCATCGTCAGACTTTGCCTCCTCTTCCTCAGATTCCTCAGATTCCGATTCGTCTTCTGAGTTACTTTCCTCTTCTTCTTCTTCTTCGTGTTCCTTTTCATCGTCTCCGTCTCCATCATCGTCATCATCATCATCAGTATCGCCCATTAACTTTGCCATTTTGTCTACTTCTTTTTGCAAACGTTTAAATTTAATTTTCTCCTCTTTGAGCAATTTATTTTGTTGTTTAATTTGTTCTCTAAGTGCATGCCTCTCTTTTCTTGCATTGTCGGATTTATCTCTGTAAACATTTTAAATATTTAATCATTCTACTTTGGATTCAGAAAGGGAAAGACATAATTACATATTTAAAAAGTTAAAAGAATAACTTTACTTGAAACTTTTAATTTTTGTTTGAAGTAATTTTAATTCCCGCTGAAGTCGTTTCTCTTCTGCAGCTTTTGGATCTTCTTCTTCATCTGATTCTTCTTCTTCGGAACTTTCTTCCTCTTCTTCCTCCTCCTCTTCTTCAGAACTCTCACTGGCGTTTGATTGGTGTGATTTATCGATACTTTTTTGAGAAGCAATTCTCGCAACATCCTTTGCGCTCGGACAACCAGCCAAAGCCATTCCTGAAAATGGGTACCATAACGATTCTTCGCTCTCATCTGATAATTCTACTACTGTATCGTGAGGCTCTTTGATTTCTTCGCAATATTCTAAATCAATATGAAAAGAAGAAGCGCAGTCAGCAGAAGCATTAGAATGGTTAATTTGCTTTAGTAGAGTGTATAAAATAGTGTTACGTTATTTATGAACGACCTCTTGAAAACAAAAAGTTAGTTTTATTCAAGGCTTGATTGAATGCAAAAATTAAAAAAGAATCATTCTCTAGGCATAATAGCATTAAGGCAGTAAAATGTTATTGATGATTTTAGAATTGAAATACACATACCAGCTTTCATGCGCCTTTCTAAAGCAGCATACATTCTCTTCATGTCTTCTAATTCGTTTTTGGTCTTATCTCTCTCTTCAGAAACACTTGCATATTCCTTTTCCAATCTTTCGGCATCTTTTCTCGCTTCCTCTGCTTCCTTCTTTATTGATTCCGATAATTTGCTATCCTGTCGTTTATATTCTTGAATACTTTTTTGGGACTTCTGGTGCTCCAATTCAGCTTCGAGGTTCAGAATTCTTGCCTGCAGTTTAAATTGGAGAGATTGTAGCTTCGAAGTTTCAGGGCTCAAATTAAACGTTTTCTGAAATACCATGAACGATTCTCTCTCTGTATAAAACCTATACCTTCATCCCATTATTTATTTCACTGAATAAAATTTACCTGCCTGATCATTAAGAAAGACTCTATCATAAGGCAACCAGCGAGGTAGCAGCTCCAACATTTATAGCATTTAACTTACAGCATGAGATGTTTTTTAAAAAATCTTTAAAAGTAGGATGAATGATTAACAAAGCAGTCTTAATTTAACGTATTACTTAAGTAAAAAATGATTTAAAATCAAAAAATTTAAATTATTACAATGGGATGAGCTAATTGAGAAAATAATATAATAATAAATCATAGACTAATTTTAATAGGTACTTGAAAACAAAAGCTGAATTTTGATATGAATTTATATTTTTTTTTAAATATCAAATGATTTAACTATAAGAAATGTAATTATAACTCATTGTAAAGGAGATTTTGAGAGTTGTCGAATAGTTGTGACAAAATCGATTCAAAGCACAGAAAAAAGCTTGTCCCATTTTTGCGGCGTATTTGCGGCGTGAAATATAGAAAATACTATTTTTTCTGCAGTTCAGGGCTCGAACTAGGTCCGTAAATTTTCTTCAAAGTCCGTAGAAGTCAGTTTTTAAAAAAAAATGGTCTGTAAAATCCGTAATTTCATTAAAAAAGGACGAAAATATATTTAATTGAAAAATTTACAAATAATTGAAATTTTACTTAAAATTGAATATTCTAAACAAATTAATTTAAAATGGATTTAAAGAAGAATTTTTGTTAAAAATTCTTGAGAATAATTATTGAATTGAAATGATAAAAAATTATTTTGAAGAAGTATTCTTTTTACTGGTTCTGGTTCGCACCCTGGCAGTTTGAAAATGAGTATAGAGCCCAGGTTTTTTCTGTGCATAAAAAGTGATAATTATGTTTGTTTTGAAATAATTAGAGATTATTAGAGATTGTCCCACCTGCAATCGTTTGTTATCTCTTTCCAGAGCTTCTTTATTTCTCAACTCTAGAGCGAGCATTTGTTTTGTACTTTGAAGGTCGTCTCTAACAGCATCAATGTCATCCATTTCATCTGGTAAAATTGTTTCTACTGGTTCATCAGCCTTTTTAATTTGCTCTTCTATTGTCAATTGTCTTCTGAATTTCCTTAAACCTTCTAAATTTGGTTTCGAACGGTCATTTGTTTTGACACATTTTAGTTGTACGCCCTTTTGAATTTGATGGAGTAGTTGATTGTGAGCGTTCGACTTTTCAGATTCGTAGATGAAGTGTACTGGACCTGTAACAGCAGCTAGTATCAATTAAATTATAACTTATCTTATAAATCCACTTTTTGTTAGTAGTGACTTAATTAAGTGTCATTAAGTCGTGACTTTTTATTCGATTAGTAAGTTAGATTCGATTTAGATTTAGATTCTGATTTTTTAGCTTCTATTAGAAGTGTATACTATCATAACTGTAGACCCTGAAATTTATATTCAAACTAGGGCTTAAATATCGAATAATTTTGTTCTTTTGTGAAACGTTGATGAACTGAGAGAACGATCGAGTATTTTATTGAAAAATTGTTTGGAAATTAATTTTATCGTTACCTTTGGGATCGGTTTTAACTTTATCTACTCTTTCAATCAGGGGTGCACTTCTATCGTTACATTGGACATGTCTGAGTTTCCTGCCGCTCTCCACCTCCTTCATCATGCATGCCCAGTCGGGTCGTTTTCTCGGCCTTGATTTTAACATTTCTATTGTTTTTTGCTGCCTGTCTGACAATTGTGGCAGATCTTTCAAAATATTTCTCGATGGCGGCGGAGGTGGTGGTCTTGGAGGCGGTGGAGGTGGAATGGCTGCTCTGGATGAACTCTTGGATAGTGTAGGTGCACCTAATACAAGAGACGTTAAATTTCGTTAATGAGGACAAAATATACAAGATAAATAATTTATAAATAATTTCGATAATGTTCAACTTTCATTTGAGGAAGAATTCAGGAAAATAATTCAAACCTTTTAGGTAATTAAATTTTAAAAAATTATTCTTCAAAGTTAGTCAATTATTTTGATAAATATTGATATTTCGATTAATATTGATAACTATTGCATAACTATTCAAAACCATACAATATTGTATTAATTACTATACTTTTTAACTTTTCTTCAAACTGTTTTTCATCGAAACAAATTTTTACAGAGATGTAAAAAAATTTCTGAATTGCTAAGTGAAGAGAAATAATTTAAATATTCCAAAAGTTGAACATAAAGAAAAAAAATCAATTGTACGTGATACATTGCAAATTTGACACGTAAATTTAATTTTACATTTAATTTGATACTTAATTTTTGATAAATTCCAAGAATTACATTTCATTCTTACCTGTAGCGCTTTCAGTTTTCGATATTGGCAAAACGTCGCCGCGTGATCGAGATCTGTCGACGCGAACTTGTCGTTCAAGTTGTGGTCTCGAGGCTGGTTCCGGTCGTCCATTTTCCCTCGCTTTTGACGGTGCCGGGGATTGACCTGCATTCTTTTTGTCACTATTCGCTTGCGAAGGGATGATTGTGATTTTACTTTGTTTTTTCGGTTGATTAGCCGGTGGTGTCGCTTCCTCAGGCTTTGGAACATTCTAGAATTAGTCGCAAATTTCAGTGTCTCTGTTTAGCCCTTCGTAAAATGTTAATTTATTTGCTCGATTAGGAGAAATTCAGTTTTATTTCTTCTCTAATTGAAGTAAACTTAATACTTTGATATTAAAACAAACAGGTGTTGAAGCATGCGGAGTTTGGATTTTTTATTTATTTTTCTGTACGTTGAACTTCAATCAACTGCAGCTGATACATAGAGTACTACTGGTTAAAAAGCTTCAAAGATTTTTTACTTTAATGCAAGTAGGATAGCAATGTGAGAGAGAGGGGGTGGGGGAGGAGGAAATTACACTGAAAATTATCGTAAATTTCGATACTTTTTTAATGACTAAAATAAGCGTCGTAGGAAGAATAATTTTGTTCAATTAAACAAATACATAATGACGTTTTCAGTAATTGAATAAATTTGAGAAAGAAGCATTTGGCTTGGTTGCCCATTTGAAATAGATGCATGTCTTTAAATAACTACATGACCCAGAGGCAGCAACACGCCTTTAGAGTTAAAAGTCTCTTTCTAATTCTCTTTCTCTTGCACATGTTGCATCAAAGTTCCTCAATGATTTCTTTAAAGCTTCGGAATTAATGTTCTGTTTTTCAATAAAAAAAAAAAGAAACTTGATATTGTATTTTTAATATCTAATTATAGTTTCACTTGATATTTACAAAAAAAAAATGTTTACTCAATTATTATTATAGCTGTAAAGTATTAGTGTGATGAAACAATTTGTTGTAAAAATAGTTTAATTTTCTCCACGTGCACGATTCTTGGAGCAAAATAAGTATTTTCAAAGTTTAAGCATTCACGTTGGTCTTTTAGTTTTTAGGATTCGCGAATAATCTGATGACAAAGTGCTTACGTATATATAATAGTTAATTAGAGAAATAAATCCTATCATTAAAATAAATTATGAAGAAATAAATGTTACTCCAGAATTCTAAAACTTAATTGAAATTATAGAAATTGTATTGAAAATAAATGCGGCTTATCAATGCACTCTTATTTTTAAAGAGATTAGTGCATATATTAAATACATAATAATACATACTTATTATTAACGGTGTTAAGGTTTCTTACTTTTGAGTAAAATTAAAGTAATTAACAGAGTTTTCTTGCTTTCCGATTCAACCCTCCACACCAAGAAAGTTTACTTCCCCATATTAATTTAATTAAGCATTTGAAATTGTAGATGTCATGCTTCTTAGCCCGTTTATCAGTTTATGAAAGTTGGTAAATGCAGAACGAACGATAGTCTAATTAGTCTTGTCGATTTATGTTAATAAACTATACGCATGATGCTGTGTTTTAGAAATTCAATTTATTTCTTTAAACTCAATTTATTTCAAATAAAAATTTATATCTACAAGTGGAATTTATTACTACGAAATTTTCAGTTTATAATAATTCAATTTATTATTTTTGCAATGCCATAGATCAGCAAAAATGTGCGCCGAGCTTTTCCAAGCTTGTATTCTTAAATATTTAATGCACCAAAAACAGTCAAATATTCAAAATGAAAAAAAGAATGTTTGACTGTTTTATGGAATTGGGAAGCAAAGAATTGTAATAGCCAAAACCAAGAAGAATTGTTAAAAGGGTTAGAAAAGTTAAAAGGGATCTTCTGGCCCCTTTTTAGTCAGTATAGTTCAAGTTTAATTATTCTTTACTTTTTACTATCAAAATACAAGTGTTTATAGGATCTATGAAATCTTACTCTTACCTTGAGAGTGACTTTCGTAAAAGCTGGTGCTTCGTCAGCTTTTTGATTTGAATCACGCCTGTTGTTCAAAGTCCAGGGAGCAGTAGGCATCGGTAAAGGATTTGGTCCATCTTTGACCCAGGGTGGTCTGAAGGTCGTCCTTGGAGTCGGTTGACCTCCTGCACCCGGCATTTTTAACAATTACCAATTCTTCTATTGTTTCAAAATATATTTATTTTTCTACGAGTACTGCAATATCTACAACAAATTACGAAACTTAAGGACTCTCAAATGCTTATTAGTTTAAATTTCTGATTGATGCATTATGCACTAATATTTAATTCTTTTTGTCGCATTTAAATAGAACATTAAAATATACACTCGGAAAATGAAATGAAACAGCAAGACACTTAAAATGCTGTACCTTTATCGACCGATTAATCGATCGATCAAGGATCACTTAATAAATCTCAAGATCTCGTTGCATACAAAGATGATGTGTTACTGTTCAACTCCTGGACACTATTTTATCGCGAATTTTGTGGGTGGGGAACTTTTGCGTGGGTGAAATATGACCTACTTTTCATCACTGTTTTTTCCAACAAATTTCCGTAAATCTAGAAAATTTTTGCAAATTATTTATTTAAAAATCTTGAGCTTAAACACCATACGTGAATTTCTCTTTAAAATTAAGGATGCTCTCTCTTTTAGAGTGAAATGATATTTATTGAGCAAGTTTCTAGTTGGCTTTCAAAGTTTAAAGGTTTTCGAGACTTAGGGAAATATCAAGAGCTGAATTGTAGAGAAATGTTTTGAACGTCTCCCTCTCAAAAGTTGATATTTTTGACTTGTGACGTCACAAGTCGAGAGGATGAAAATAGATTTGAATCTTCTAGGACGGATCGTGACTGCTTTATAGAATGAAACGGTTTATCCTTTTGCTTCTGATTAATTTGAGTAAATAAAAAAATGCATCTAGATAAAAATAAAAGTAAATATTGAATTAATTATAGTATTTATATGGCAGAAAATTATAATTAGAAATAAAGGGATTTCTTCATGTTTTATAACAATTTTTCATAAGTTTAATTTCAAATGATTATAATGACTAAATATTTTATTTAAAAAAGATAAATATAACAATACGGAATATAGTATTACATGAAAATTCCATGTATTTGTAAAAATTTATTAGAATTATTTAATTTTGTAAAATATAAAATATGTAGTTTTAAAAACCAGGAAAAATTGCGTTTTTTAACCTGGAAAATCTGGAAAAGTCAGGGAATTTAAAATGTTTAAAGATTATTCATTTTTTTAATGCGACAATTTCTCTCAAACATTATTATTGAACTGAAAATTTTTTGTCCAAGGGTGCGAGGCCTGCAGGAGAAACAATATCAGTTAGCAGCTCATAAGCGACATGAGGCAAATCTGAAATACAATTATTACAAGGAGACAGTTAGATTTTTTACTCGTGAAAATGTAAATAGCAAGCAATTCAATTCTTGGTGCTCCAAAGAAATGGCATCTCTTCTTGACAAGCCATTGAAAGCTCAACAATTGCGTCAACGTCAATCTCAGCTAAAATCATTATTTCAAGAAGAACAAGATCAGTATGATAAGGAATTATTGGAGTTAAAGTCACATAAAAATCCATCACCAGATTACTCTATTGAAGCTCTGAAGCGAAAATTAAAAGAAAAAAAAGCCGAGCAAAGCTTATATTTACCAAAAGATTGTCGTCGATTTCAATCCAACTTTTATAACACTGGAAATCCTAATCAATCATTATTCAGCAATGAAAAATTCAATTCCGAATTCATTTCTAAAGATTCACATCCGCAGAAGAATGATTCGCCTAAAAGTAATCAATCTCCAATAAATGATATCGAATTTGATCGAAAAACTGTTTCAAGTACAATTGATAATTCTGTGAATGTAAGGACTCATCAAATTACATATCAATCACAACTTTTGGGAACTGGAGTTAAACAGGCGTTATACGACCACTCAAAAGAGAAAATCAATAATAACTCTTCTACAAGATCTTCTTGCAGAAGTCTTGAGGAAACAAATATTCGAAATTCAGATGAATTGACGCCTTTTAGAACTATTCAAAGACCCCAATTTAATGAATCGTTAATTCACTCGCAATGTGAGGCATCAACTCCTTCAAATGAAGTACCAATAAATCAGATTAATACTTCGAAAGAGTGTACCACAAATTCTCAACAAATTTCTGATAGCAATCAAACTACAGATATTTACGTAAATAATTTGAAAGCTAGCGATGAAATTTCAGAATCATGTTTCTCACAAGATGATTCTTCCAATAGTATAAAAAATAAAAACAACCCTTTCGAGAATCCAATAAATATTGCATTGGTGAGAGAAAATCCCAAATACAAAAGACTAACCACACAAATGTTTCATTATTTGGCCAATAAAGATTTACAAGAACAAATTTTGAATTTATCGAAGAGAGAATTTCAAGCTTGCAGAAAGCAATGGTGGTCTCAAGCTATAAGACTCAGAGAGATGAAGAATAAATTGGAGTTAATTAAGGAGCAAAATATCTATAACACTTTACTTTCTCAAATGGACAGTAAAACTAAAAAGATTGAAAGACATAAAATTGCTGAGAGATCAACAATTATCTCTCAGAGAGAGAAAATATGTGAAAGTGCAAACGTTTATGAGTAAGTATATTTAAATTTATAATACATAGTAGCTATTATTTAATTTAAGTTTAAAAAATGAACTTTGTTGAAAACTTGAAATAAATGAGCAGCCGAGTGCAATAACTGACCGCCATTGGATGCGGTTGCTCATTCGGCTTCATTAGTTCATTTGGCCTTCCAAACGATAATTACTTGACTGAATTGTGCTATTTATCGTCGCTTAAAGCGTCAGGCTCCGTGTAAGGGAAATGCCAACGTTTTTGTCAGACGACAAGACAAGAAATTTGTTCAATTTCATTTTTTTGATATTAATCAATACTTCTTCTTACAAAACATTTATGTACTTGAACACCCAGAAAAAAAATTTAATGAAACCAAATGTGTATTTTATTTGAATTGAATAAACGTCGTATATTTGTCTCAAAGCCAACCAGGTTACTTACAAATTTCATTAGCAATAAATAAAATTTTTATTTAAAAAAAAAATAAAACTTATTTAAAAAAAATAAAATTTATTTGAAACAAATAAAAAGTCTATACAGTTGGCTCTGGGTCAAATATATTTTTCTTTGGGTGAAGATCCGAACGTTCAATGCTGCACGAAAAAGCTGGCATAAAAAATAAAATAAAAAAAGCCCTGATAAAAATAATGTATTGAATTGTTTATTCAGTAATACAGAATAGAAAAAAATAGTATGAATTTTCGGAAAAGCAATTTCTAATATGTATTTAAGTGAAGAATGTCAGAATAATCGAAATTTCGTAAAATTAAATTCTAAATAAAACAACAAAAGGATTTAAATATTCTCAAAGAACTTTTTCAAAAATTATTTTTAAAAAATTGACTTAAAGAAGAATTTTTATCAAAATGATGAAAATAATTTTTGAAGAAATTACAGTAGCAAAGTAGCAAATTTTAATTATTATATGAAGAAAGCGATCGACTCGGAGTGATCACATAGTGCGGGCTTTTTCGTTCATTGAACATTCTTTAAATCTTTACTTCAAGTCAACTATTTTTTGATTTAGAAAATATTATATTAATTTGAATCATATGTTTTTTAGTGAAGAAGCGAAAGTCCTTTGGAAACAGTGGATCCTCGAAGATGAGCTTACTGAAAAGTTAGACTCTCTTGAAGAAAGGAATATTTTACTTGCACAGTTAGAAAAGGAATGGCAAATTTTAAATCAAAAGGATAAAAAACGAATTGATGATTTTTATCAAAACGTTATTTTCAAATCGAAAATACAAGATGAATATAATCTTGCTGAGGACTTAAGGTCTGTAGGATCAAAAATTTTAGATACAGAATGTTTTGTAAAATAAATAAATTTATGGAAAATTAGTTAAATGATTTTCATTTTGTCTTTTATTTGTTATTGTACCTATTAAAAAATAAACTTTTTCTTCTTTATTTATATGTAAAGAATTTTTAAGAACCATTAAGAAACTATATGTACACTGAAAAAAAATTTATTTGATTCAAGTAATCGATTAAATATTTAATTGATAATAGTTAATTAATCGATTATTTGAATCAAATAAATTTTTTTTAATGTAGGTATATGTACATTTATCGATTTAACATTTATTAATTTTATATTTTATAATTTTAAGTATATATTGTAAAAGTTTTTCAATTAGAAAACTGATTCAATTATTTATAATTTTTTCCGAGAAGAATTTTTAATTTCAATTTTAAATTAGATACTTGAAATATTCGAACAAAATGTTTACATGCGCAATGGATATCTAAATTGATAATCTTAAAACTTATCGACTGTAGCATAGCTATACTTTTGCGCAGAGAATTAAGATGGCACCACTTTTTGGTTTTGGAATAAAAATAATGGTAATTCAGAGTGTGAATCGACAAAACAAAAAAAAATATGTTTATTTATGTCAGGACAAAAAATTTTAATTTTAGTTTGTTTTTAATTTTAATTTTTATTTATTAAAACTTTCATCGATTAAAATCCTAGTTGACTGTGAATTTAATTCGTCAAAATAAACATTTTGAAATTAAAATTTTCTTATTTTTAATTAAGATCAAATTCAGTTGATCTAAATTTCAATTTATTCAAATTTTAAAGAATACAAATTTATCGCGCTAATTTTAACCATCTCAATTTCAATCAATGTTGTAGTATCAATTATGAATAAAAATCATTTTTAGAAAAAAGTTTCGAAAATAGATTTAATATACATAAATTTCAAAATTCTTCAGATTTACTAAATTCTTTTGAATATTATTTTTAAAAAATATTCTTCACAAGAATTCAATTATTTTCATAAATTTCCATAAAATTCTAAAAAATCAATTCAATTATTTTGAAAACTAAGAAAATTCTTCGCAGAAATTCAATTATGTTTAAAATTTTTTTTAAATTCTCAAAATTTCAATTATCTTTATAAATAATTAAATTGTTCTTCACAATTCAATTATTTTCAATAATTTTAATAAAATTCTACGTAAACATTTAATTATTTTCATAAATAATAACATTCTTCGGAAGGATTCAATTACTTTTATAAATAGTAAAATTCTTTGCAGAAATTCAACTAGTATGATACATTTTAATAAAAATTGAATTAATCAGATTTTCAATTCTAATTATGAACAGACAAGATTTTTTTTAAAAATTGAAAAAATCTCATGTTTAATTCAATTATTTTCCAAATTTTCAATTAAAATTATTTAAATACATTATTTTCAAAAAATTTAAAGAAACTCGTCAAAAGAATTTAATTATTCATAAAAATTTTTAAAGCTTATTTGTAGATTTATTTATGTTCGAAATCAAATAAATTTAAATTTGTCGAGAAAAAACCGGGAAAAATTATAGAAAAAAACTGTAAATTTTGTTGAACGATAATAGTAGACACCCTAGTAATCGTTACTTTTAAAAATTTTTTACTCAATTGTCTAATACTAAATATTTTGAATTTTGTTATTTTAAGGAAGAATCTGATGGACAGTCAAATCAAAAGTTAGTCCAATGTCATAATTTCGTAATCTAAAAGAAAAAGACAAATTAAATTTTCAATTCGTCTCGGTGGAAAGGCGAAAAATTTAATTTTGAATATTTAAAACGATTGAAAGTTGCATTTGAATAAAAATTACAATTTTCTGTCAATAAGAAACATTTGTTAAATTTTAAGTTATGTTAGGTACTTAAATCATTTATTATTAACAAAAAATTATAACTTTTATTCAAATATAACTTAAAAATGTTAAAAATTAAATTCCACGCTTCTACCAAAAGGAATTTAAAATTTAATTTAACTCTTTTTTTTTAAAATACGAAATTATTAATTAAGATTATAATTCTTTTTAAATGAGACATTGATTCTAATGTTTTGCTTAAAAATGGATATTTGTAGATGAGAGAAACTACCCACTTCTGTCATGTCAAGAGCAATGGTTTTTTCCTGATGGACAGATGAGACATTACAGTTTCGGCTCGCAGGAAAAGGAAAAGGAAAAGTGTTGCAACTGTCGGACGTGTGGCGGGCGCATTCGGCGTTCTTCGAACGGGACGTAAGTTAGACCACATTTTTCTTGTTTTTTATTCGATCCCAGCCCCTTTTGTTTTTCTCATTTCCTATATGTGGGGGCTAGAAACGCGTTTAATTAACATAGCTGACATGGTTGCATCCCTCTCGAGTGTGAGGAGCTGAGCTTCAGCGTCAGCGTCAGCCAGTCAGGTTTCACGGACCATTGCGCACCGACAACATATACACACGTGCACAGAATTGGCCTTGTCTTGTTTTCTTTCGTGTTAGTTGTCATGTCATCTCTTTTTCCAAGTATGAAAAATTGTCCTTTTTACTGGCATCTCATTTTCAGGAATATCAATTTCTTAAACATCTCTAATATTACTTTATATTATAAAGGATATTTCTTTATTTAATGTTAAAATCTTAAAATTAGGTTCTTACAAAAATATATGTAATCGAATCAAATTATAGTTTCTATAATCACTCAAAAAACAGTTATCTGGTTAAAGTTGTTACTAGATGGTAACCGATGCGATGGTTAAAAAAATTTCTAAAACTAACAAAAAACTTATGGTTAATAAAGTTATAGGAAATTTTGGTTATAACCAACATTTTCTATAATATTATTAAGCATAAGTTTTTTGTTAGTTTTAGAAATTTTTTGTTCGTCGTCTTTTTGAATCAGCTTTTCTGGTAAGATCAATGAGAATACACTATTTTAAAAAATATCTAACCAGAATTTTTGTATTATGTATAATATAGGAAAATTGGAGACGCATGCGCTTATTCCCGAAATCTTTTTTAACCAAATAGTTATTTGATATAAAACTACTTAACTTAAAATTCACATAATATGCACATTATTTGACATAAATTTCATTGCACACAAAAATCATTTAACATAAATATCATTTGTCATAGAATTCATTAAACAGAAATATTGTGTTACATAAAACTCAGATAAATTAATTCCCATTTGACATAAAAATTATGTAACATAAATTTCTTTTGATATAAAAATCATTTAACATAAATTTCTTTTGACATAAAATTCATTTAACGTAAATTTTATTTGTTATAAAATTCATTTGACATCAATTTCATTTGGCATAAATGTCATTTAACGTAATTGTCATTTGACATAAATATCATTAGACATAAAATTAGCTTGATATAAATTTCATTTGACGTGAATATCATTTAACATAATTATTATTTAACGTAAAATTAAATTTATATAAATTTCATTTAGCATAAATTCCATTTAACATAATTCTCATTTGGCATAAAATTTAGTTGACATAAATTTCATTTGGTATAAATCCCATTTAACATAATTTTCATTTGACATAAAGTTCATTTGACATAAAAGACATTTAACACAATTCTCATTTGTCATAAAAGTCATTCAAAAAAATTCTTATTTGACATAAAAATCATTTTACACAAATTACATTTTAAATAACAATATCGGCGCGAATTTTATAAGTAACCAATTAGATATTATCAACAACATTGTGATTCGCCAATTTTGAAATTCGCGCCTATATTTCCATGTCAAATGATCTTTATGTAAAATAAAATCTACGACAACTGAATTTTATGTCAAATGAGAATTATGTTAAATGGGATTTATACCAAATGAAATTTATGTCAAGTAAATTTTATGTTAAATGGAATTTATGCTAAATGAAATTTATATAAATTTAATTTTACGTTAAATAATAATTATGTTAAATGATATTCACGTCAAATGAAATTTATATCAAGCTAATTTTATGTCTAATGATATTTATGTCAAATGACAATTACGTTAAATGACATTTATGCCAAATGAAATTGATGTCAAATGAATATTATAACAAATAAAATTTGCGTTAAATGAATTTTATGTCAAAAGAAATTTATATTAAGTGGTTTTTGTGTGCAATGAAATTTATGTCAAATAATGTGCATATTATGTGAATTTTAAGTTAAGTAGTTTTATATCAAATACCTATTTGGTCAAAAAAGATTTCGGGAATAAGCATGCGTCTCGGAAAATTTTGGTATGTTTAACCAGAAATTCTGGTTAAATTTATATTTTTAACCAGAAAAAGTAGTAAGGCCCTAAGGGTATATATTTAAAGTTGTATTCTAGTTAGAATAACCAGAATAATAACAATTATATGAAATTAAAATTATTACATTTTTATTTAACAATCACCCTCAAAGAGAATTTATAATTATTAGAAATTCTATTAGGAGAAACTACGTAGGACATAGTTTTGGAAATTTCACCTTCTCCCTCCTCGTATAAGAAATATTATATATATATATATAAATTAGAGCTATTTTTTCTATTGACCGTGAAATATAGCTGGACCCCTCTTCATCCCTTAAAGCCTATTATACGTAGTGTGAATGGCCCCTTAACAGAATTGCAGGTGAATTTCTATACACTTAATTAAGCGAATATTCATTTATAATAGAAATTTGACTTATTTGAATCTAACATGTTACATATAAGTTTATTTCTTTAAAAATTTAAAATAAGATCAGGATTACATTTTTAAAAATAATTTAGTCTTTTGAAAATAATGTATGTCATAACAAGTTTGTGCAGATTATAAGAATTTAAAATACACACAAGTACTATCAACTTTTAATTCAGGGTGGCCGCTGGACGGGAAACCGGGAAATAACAGGGAAATTCTTTTAAACCTGATGGAAAAGCCGGGAAATGACAGTGAATTTTGATCTTGACCGGGATTTTGGAAATTTTTTTTTAAAAACACTAATTTTTGTCAGGGGATTTTATCAAAAGTACTGGAAAAATATTCGATTTCTAGAATTTATAAGAAA